ACGTGACCCTCCCTACCATTCCTATTATTTACTTTAACATCCCAGATTACCCCGCATTTTTCACATTTTTTGGAGGAACTACAGAAATTCGAGGTGATATGGTGGGTGTAACAGTTTTTATTCTTAAAGTCTTTCCCACACCCATCACAATGTTCAAAGAAATCATTTAAATCTTTACAAGGAAACCCTGGTCCAACCCTTGAACAGTTAGGGCATCTAGATTTACACGAGATTGCATGGTTAGTTTTCTTATCATAAACAGTTTCACAGGATAAGCAATAGGGTTGTCCAAAAAGATCGCTTGCCCTACGGACCCCGTCAAAGTGTTCCTTATTATAAAACAAAATTATGGGTGTATCAAAATTATTGGGACCATATTTATAAATTGGTTTTTCCCCTAAGTCCCCGAATATAAAAACTTTAAACCATCCATTCAGTAAATTCCAATATTCAACCACAGAGGGAATCCATTCTTCCGCATCATAGGTGTCCAGGTTTAAAGGTGCACCAACACTTTGCATTAGTTCCATTGTGTCCTTCTTGAATTGATTAGTCATCCCTCGTCGACTGCGCATGTAGTCGTAAAATTTCCATCTGGGCCATAAACATGTTGCATAAATGAAGGTGGCAACAAGAGAGTAGAACAAGCAATAGTTGTCGTTGTTGCGAATTTTGATGAGAGCATTGTCATTAATTTTAAGTTGTTTTGATGATGAATTTCTTCCACGGCCATGTACTCGACGGGGGTTGTCACTTCGTTGAATAGTGGATACCGAGACAAGAAAAGGTGCGCCCCATAACATACCATTATCTTGTTTTTTACTCTGGGCGACCTTTAGGAATTGATTCAGGATTGAATCAATCGTGTTGGGTGTGATTTCCCGAACCGGAATCCAAACGTCAGAATCGAGATTCTGACTCGATATTATACACCCTAGTTGCTCAGGTTCAACCCCCCATTGACGACTCTCTTCAAGAGCTTCGTCAATTGTATGCTGGAAAATCTCAGCTAAAAGGGATTCAGGATCGTTGGGCAGGTTAGAAATAAGGAACTTAGATGAGACCTTAGACGAATTAAATTTACGATTAAACTTGGTCTCATGACAAAGCTTTTTTACATAGGGATTATTGGTTTCGGAACCTAGTATATTGGAAATTGAAAAATTCTTAAATTTTTTGGAGGGTGGAGGAAACATTTAAAAAAAAAAGTTTGAAAAATGAAAGGTTGTTTTGTCTCGAAGAAGCTGGTGTTGAACAGTAGAATGATTTTTCAGATTAAGTCAATTTCTTTTTATACTTCCGTTCTAGCTCCACCTATTCAAATGATTTTCAAGATAAAGCACAGATGGATTTTTAGAGAAATTTTCTAATAACGGATTAAAATTTTTAATCTAGGTTAAAATTTTTAATAATAACCTTGAAAAATTGACCTAATTTTTGGAAATTTTATAAAATTTTATTTAAGAGGGATGTTGTAGTACCGAGTTAAAAAGCAAGAGATAAAACAAGTAGACAGCAATGTAGGCGTTGGTGATAGATTGGAGCAGACGAAGGAAATCAGCACAATATTTTAATATTTCTCCCTATTTTTATCAATAATTACTCCTATTTTTTCCAATTTATTTTCTTTATTTTTTTCCATCAAAAACATTTTTTAACCTTCATTTTTATTCAAACTCTTTTTATTTTCAATATTTATTCTTTTATTTTTTTCCATTCAAAAATTTTTATTACAATTTTTCTTTTCTTTTGTTAACAAAAGAAGCAAGTTTTTAGGTCAGGCTGACCGGAATTGAAAAGAAAGTTGAAATTTTTTAAGAAAAGGGAAATTTTTTAAGATGACCCAGAACTTTAAAAAATTCAAAAGAAAATTTTAAAAAATTCAAAGGAAAAAGGAAAAGTTTTAAGCTGACCCAGAAATTTCAAAAGAAATTTTAAAGTAAAAAAATGAACACAGCACGCTGCGCGAACAAAAATACAAAAGAAAAATTAAAAGAAATTTTTTAAAATCTAAAGAAAGGAAAAGTTTTCTAGGTCAAAAATGACCCATAAAATCTTTAAAAATTCAAAAGAAATGAACGCATGCTGCGCGAAAAAATACAATAGAAGAAAATCAAAAGAAAATTACTGAAAAGGAAAAGGGAAAAATAAATTTTAAAAATTTTTGGGGGAAAGGGACCTAAACCTTTTGGTTTGAAAGGTTCGGTACCGGATATCCCTAATTAGTGTACTAATTACATGCTTTTAATTAGGGACTAATTACATGGAAATAAGGGCAATTTCACGGAACCTTTTTTCTTTATCAGTTATCATTGATAAGACCCTTTGGGGTGGTATTGGATGTCCCTAAACCTTTAGGTTAGGGTTAATTAATTGGTTAATTACATGGAATTAATTAGGGATTAATTACCTTTTCTTATATCAGTTATCTTTGATAAGACCCCTTGGGATGGTATGAGATGTTCCTAAACCTTTAGGATGGTCCTAATTATTGATGTAATTACATGGAATTAATTAAGGATTAATTTTGCGGACCCCTCTGCCCCTGACGACGGGGGCGGGGGACTAACTACTTCGGAAATCGCTCAAAAGTCGGAATTCCTATTCAACTCTGCCCCCAATTTGATACACTTTGGTACCATCCGATAGAGAACCCTTGCCTTCCTATTATAAAAGCTTAAAAGAAAAATTGTAGCTTATAAGTAGAGAACAAATTTATATGGACTACTATTATTAGGAAAATATGGACATATAATATGGACCAGAGCTGCACGAAAATAAAATTTTTCCCTCAACGAAACGAAAACGAAAAAAATAAATTCATCAGTAAACGAAACGAAAACGAAACGAAAAAAATAAATTTCATTTTTACGAAACGAAAGAAACGAAAAAAATCTCAATTTTCACGAAACGAAACGAAACGAAACGAAAAAAATCTAAATTATAAATCTTTAGATTTTAATGCTAGATAATAAGTTTTTCGAGGTTGTACGTGTCTAAATGTATCAAACATTTGATTGAATTCAAATATTAGCCTCCAAATCCTTTGATATCCCTTCAGATACTATGATATCCACTTAATCCATCATATTCCCTGATATTCCCGATTTAGGAGGTAAGAAATATATCGAGTGATATGGAGTAATTAAGAGGAAGTGTGTGGATATTGTTAGGTGAGATATTTAGGGGCTAAACGATTTAGAAGCAATATTGATATTCTCTCGGATACCCGTATTAATCCACAAAAATCTTCTAATGCTCTTTGAATTCTTATATCCCGCCTCATTCTCTATCCATTTAATTTCTCTATTTCCCCAAATTTACTTCCAAAATTGCCCATTTAATTAAGGTGGTAAGCGTGGTGAGCAGAGTCGGTCGGAGGCAGAGGTGGGTCGGAATTCAGTTCCACCCATTCCTGATCTGGAACTCAGATCCCCGATATCCTTCTATATCGTCTGATATCGTCACCCTTGATCCAAATCACTTTAAATAACCAGTAAAAATGACCTAGGCAACTCAAACTGAAAATACAAGGAACCGTTTTTAGCGCCGCAGGCGAAAATTTTGAGAAATTTGGAAGCCAAGAAGCCAGATTTCTTCCATTTTCAGCGCCGCAGGCAAAATTTTTTTGAATTTTCAGTTCCCGGGAGAAAAATTTACAATTTTTGGCTTAAAAATACAACAAATTAGAAAAAAATTGCCTAAATCCATCGAATATTATTTTCGTCATTTTCGTCTAAAAATTGGGGTTACGAAACGAAAACGAAACGAAAATATTTTTTTAACGAAATACGAAACGAAAGAAACGAAAAAAAATATTTTCAAACGAAACACGAAACAAAACAAAAATCATCAAAAATCCACGAAAATCTACGAAAACGAAACGAAACGAAAAATTTTCGTGCAGCTCTGATATGGACTAAAAATCTTAAAATATGGAATGAAATATGGACTAAAATCAAATGAAATATGGACTAAAAAAATATGATTGAAATATGGACTAAAAATCCAAAATATGGATTTTTTAAATTATCAAACAACACACCTCAAGTATTTCAGACAATTGTTTCATTGCATCACTAACAACTTGATGAACTTTAACAGTATTTTGAGTATGATACTGTTTAATAACTTCTACAGTATTGCTAACTGAATGCCGTAAACCTTGCAAATCTTGTCGCCAACTTTCCAATTGTTTTTTAATTTCAAAACAATCACGAAGAAATGTTGAGATTTTAGATGCTGTATTTAAATATATACGTTGTTCTTTCCATCGTTCTTTTTCGTTTAAATGTCGATTTTCTAGAAAAACAAGGAATAAAATTGTAGAATCTAAAAATTAAAGACTCAAACTATCAACTAAAGTCCGCTTTACACTTTGCCAGGCACAGTATCCTTGGTTTTTATTCTCAGACGACCGAGTCGGTTTTTTGGGAATAAAAAGGCTGAAAAACAAAATTTCATCAAAATATTCGGTTTCCGGCTATCGGGATTAGAGAACCCGGACTGGCCCGGGTTCTACTATAAACATAAGAAAATAAATTTAAGACTAAAGGTAAGCCATTGAACCACCAAAAGCCATTGAAATAACAAACTGTTGTTGCGACAAAAAGGAAAGATATTTGGAAATTGCCTGCGGTTTGGTATTTCGAGGGTTTTTTGGGGGTTTGATATTTCAATGTATTTGGTATAACAATGTTTGTTATTTCATAGTTTGGTATTTTGTTTCAATATTCTAGTATTATAAGATCATAACAAACAAATTTAGGATTTAAGTTTATTTGAGATGTATGTCTATACGGAAATAAAAATTAAAAATTAGAAACTATAGATTGGAAATTTAAAAAAAACATTGACAGGGGTTCTTGATTTCGAGTCAGGACTTTAACCAGATTCTTGACCTTGAGTCAAAGAAAAATCAAGGAGCTATGAAAAATGATCCTAACTCTGGATCCAGCAGAATTAATGTTTGGATCAAGATACTGGATTTCGATTAGAAGCTATACAATCCGAAAAATACACCCATAAACATTACAAAAAAATTCCAAGCTCAATCTTAAAAACATAAAAACAAAAAAAACTCTACCTATATCCTTTATTAAATGCTCCACATGTGTTACAGATTCCGAATTATCAATATCAAGCAATTCACGTTGTTTTTGCAACGATTGTAACAATTCTTCAGCTTCAGCCATTACTCTACCATATGCTTGGTCAGTCAATTCATTGTCATGATGAAAAGTAGCTTTATTTTTTTCACAATGATCTACAGATTCAGGCACTATACAGATGTAATTAGCACGACTATCCAATTTACTATACCAATCCATAATTTCATCATAATGTAAATAAAAATAATAGGCACGATGAAGTCTAAAAGAAAAAATTTTTTAATAAAAAAATCCGGAAAAAAAGTTTAAAATTGAAGATAAATTTAAATTTGTATATTACAACGAGGAAAATGTATAATATTTCCCGGAAGAAGTAAAACTGATGGACTATCTACCAGAGGTGGGTCGGAACAGTCGGAGGTGTCGGAAATCGCAAGAACAGAAAATCGGAACTGGCTCACAGAAATCAAAATTATTTTCAGAAAACGGAAATCGGAAGGAAAAAACGTTGAAAACCAGAAGTCAGAAATCGGAATTCCGACCCAACTCTGAAATCTACTAAGTTCCGAAATAGAAAAGGGAGTGTCCAGAAAATCAGTCAGTGAGCAAACCCATTAATTCTACCAATATTCAACCTATCGTTGCCCAGAATTTTTATTCATTTGTGTGAGATTTAAAGGGATTTGGAAGAGGGCAACAAAGGAAAATAAAAAAACACAGTTTAAAATTATTATGACACCAAATGGATATAAGAGGAATTAAGGGGGGTGAATTATCATTTGATTTGGAGGGATATCGAAAATGTCCACAAGGAAAGAATATATACCTAAATGTATCTGAAAAGCCAATTAAAACTTAATTATAAAATCCGGAAAACATTTTAAAATTAAATTTAAAAAAACTAACAAAATAGTTCTGTGTTCCATACACCGTTTAAAATTGTTAATTTTAAGTAATAATTCTTCCACTTTTTTATTTGCTTCAATTCTTACTGATTCATCTACAAAAAAAATTTAATTTTTTTTTTCAAAATTTCTTTAAAAAATTCCCACCAGCATCATCCAAAACATGTCTCAATTTAAATATTTGTTCAGCATTTTTATTTGTATTTATAGCTACAGCACGAAATTTTTGATGGTTTTGGGTTAAAATGCTAGCTGATTCTGGATCAACACCTATTCCCGTTTTTCTATGAAGGAAAGGTTCACCATGTTGATTTAGCCAGTCGAGAACCTTCAAAAATAACAATAATAAAAATGATAAATAGAAAGACACATCTAGTTATTTTTCTAAATCAAATATAACAAGAGCGTAGCTAGGCGGTCAATTTCAGGAGGCTAAAATGGGGCGTGCAACTAAATTTTGTTATTACTATTTTAGCACCACAGACTAAAATTTTTGAGTTTGGAAGGCCAGTAAGCCAAATTTCTTTCATTTTCCGCAGGCGAAAATTTTGAGAATTTTATAGGTTGTAAACTCAAAAAATTATCTTTTTTAATCATTTTCTTCCCAAAACTTTTTCATTTTCCCCCATTTAGAAAAAGGGGGGGGGGGGCTTTAGCCCCAGATACCAACATCGGGCTACGCCCTTGAAATATACACTAATTTATTATCAACTGCACAAGAATCCGGAAAAAACAAAAAAATAAAAAATTTTTTGAATAAATCTGAAACATAACAAAAAATACAACCACATTCGGGAGCAGACCAACTTACCGCGAGCCCAACTTACCGCAGAGCTATAACTTCGTTCAGAATTGTCGAATCCGGTACGCCCTGGTATGGTTCGATTCAGCTCTTCAAGGCGCATCGAACCATACCAGTGCATACCGGATTCGATAATTCTGAACGAAGTTATAGCTCTGCGGTAAGTTGGGCTCGCGGTAAGTTGGGGTGTACCCACCACATTCACACATTAGTATTTTAAATATTTTAAAAATAAAATTTTTTAACTCACAGAATTTAAATCAGTAACAAAATCAGCACTAGATAACTTATTTTGTATAGTTAAATCTCTAGCTTCCCAAACAGTATTAATTCCTTTAAAAGTATTCCCAATTAATTGTAAATTGTCTTGAATTATTGGAGTTATTGACAATTTATTTATAGATTCTCCAAAATATTTTTTTAATAATTTTAGCAATTGTTGTAATTCTTCATTAGCTTCCGCAAAACTTGAACGATACAATTTTTGAAATTCTTGGTGCCTTTTTGCTGCTATTGGTAAATCATTGATACAAATTTTATTTGGATCTACTCCTACATCCATTTGCCAATGATCGGCGCTTTTAAGAAACTGTGATGAAAAAAAGTTTTTTTTATCAATTTTTATAACGTAAACTATTAGAGAAAAATTTTTTATTTCTAAACTTTTTTTATAGACTAAACCAATTTGAACGACAAATCTTTGAAAGTTCCCGGACCCGCTCCAAGGGCGTAGCCAGGGAGGGGCTGAAGCATTTCGCAAAAGAAATTCCAAAATCCATAAAACCGAAAATTGAGGAAAGACTAGACATATGTAAAGGATGTGTAATACAAATCAATAATGAGGGTGAACAGATAAAAACACTAGAGACAGACTACCCAAAACCCGATCGGACTTTCTCCCAACCCATCCAATTCCCCACCCTTAATTTATTCGTGTGTGGGAGTTGGGTATAAGCTACTGACTCGGGTATACTTTTAAGAACTTATAAAACTTAAAAAAATATAACAAACCAAATTGCATTTTTTATGTGCACTAGAAGCTAATTGTAATAATTGTGTTCTAGCATCTATTCTTGTTAAAAATTGATTCCAATCATTTTTTAATTGTAATGAAATACTTTCAATTTTATTTAATCCAAATTTTTGAATATTTAATAAACGTATACTAACAGTTATTACTTGAGTATAACTAACTTCTATTTTCTAAAAGAAAAAATGAATGGAAATCAAGGTTAAAATTGGGTAACAATTAGAGATCGGTCTAGACCTGGATCCAGTCTGGATTTTTCTTGGATCCAGAGTCAAGATCAAGACATTTTTTGATCGTCCTGGATTTTTTCTGGATCCAGATCAAGAATCCTGTCCAGATTACTAAACTAAATCCAGATCGAGAATCCAGATCCAGGATTTTTGAAAATGTCGATCTCTAGTAGCAATATAATACCTAGCTTAAAAATCTTCGAAAGGGACTTGGGATTAACCACGGAACCGTAAAGATTGCAGAAAAAATTTTTTTCAGAAAATAATCCGTCATATTTCCCATTTTTCCAAAAAAATTTTTTTAAGCATTTTTCAATTTTTGAATAAAGCAAGGAATATAGCAAGGAATCCTGAATTAACGTTGTCAGTTCGGAGACAAAGAAAACCCAACTGAAAAATCCCGAGAATTTTTTAGGTTTAGTTCCTTTGTTAGGCTCTTCAAATATCCCAAGATTTCCAAGTACCGACAACCCACTAATCCTAATATTTAAAAAAAAATTTTTTCTCTTGAAATACCAGACATATTGGAACTTATAAGATTCCCAGAAACTCAAACAAAAAAATTTTCTAAATTAAAAATAAATCCAAAAAAAATTTTTCCTTACTTTAACAGATTCAGCAAAATCCAAGTGTTCTTTTAATAATCTATTTGTTTCGAGTTCATTTTCTCCAATTAAAACAAAACGGTGTGTAAGGCTATTAAAATGTTTACAAATCCATTGAGAAAGCTAAATTGAAAAAAAATTTTTTTAATTTAAAATAAAAAGAAAATAAACATTTTCAGCATCCTGTTCAAATAATTTTAATTGAGAATATTGATCTAATTCAGTTTTTCTTGTTTCCCAATCATAAAGCACTTCGTTTCTAAAATTTAAAAAAATGTAAAATACTTCAGGTAACCCAAATCAAATCTCTGATTCGCCCACCTACGCACAAAATATTAACCAATATATTAGAGATCGAGTTGGGAGGTTTTTTAGGCCTGGGTTTTTACTGTACCCAGAGTCCAGGCCCATGCATTTTTTGACCTTCCTGGGTTTTTCCTGGACTACAGGCCCAGGATTCGGCCCATGTCAATAAATCAAACGCAGAGTCCAGGAATGGGTCCAGGCTTTTCAAAAATTTTGATCTCTACAATATACCCCACAGCTCATCCCACCGGCCCAGGTCAATAAATCAAAAACATAGTCCAAAAACAGGTCCAGGCTTTTCAAAAATTTTGATCCCCACAATAAACCCCCCAAAGCTCATCTCATCTTAATCAATCAAAAAATAATCCAAAAAAAAATTTTAAAAAGAAAAAAAACCTTGTTTTAACCAAAGTTTTGAGCAATTGTAAAAGATTAGGAAAGACAGCAATTAAATCAGGATTTGGCTGGGTACAAACAACTAATCCATTCTTCATTCCACCACCATTTTTTTCATACATTAGCCTTTCTTTTATTGAAAAAATTTGTTTTTCAAATTCTTCTATTGGTGCAGATGTTAAAATTGGGTACAAATTGGAATGTGTTTGAACTGATTTTTGGGCTGATATTGCATCTATTGGCATTTCGGCACTTGACATTTCGAAGGAGATGCGGTCGAGATTTTTGAGTATTTCTGAGATTCTGTGGACTATACGTTCAATTTCCTTTAAAAATTAATTTCTTTATTTGAAAAATTGAAATTTTTAATGGCTAAAAAGGAATAAATTTTTGTTTATTCCAGCCCTCGATATACAAAAATTTATAAACAGAAATCAAAGGACTGATGAATAAAAAAGCGAAGAGCAAGAATAATTGGAGATAAGTAATTTAATACTATTGATTTTCGCATTTTAAAAATAATCACCATAAAAAATCAACCCGCATTTGCAGACAATGTCCATAAAAATTTTCAAACAACCACTCTCAAACAGTTAGGAAAGAAAATATTGGATTTAATTTCAAACCTTACAAGGGTCGGAATTTATGGTCAAAAAAAAGTTCAGGTTTCAGGGATTATTTTGAATTATATTATCCAACTAGACTAATTGCTATTCTCAAAAATCAGAAAAAATGCTGCATAGAAGGAAACCAGTCCAAACCGATTTCCTTAACTAAAAATTCAAGTCGAAACGTCCCCCAAAAACCCTCCAAAAAATATTCTAAAACAAACCCTTCTAATTTCAATCCACTCATCATAATCAAATTTAAAAGAACCTCCAAATTCTTTAGGTATTTGGCTATAATCAATATATTTGGTTAAGGCATCAGGAGAGACCATTTGAAGTTCAAATTTTGTATATTTTGCTGTGGATATTTTATATTTGTCGAGAAATTTTTCTGGTTTTATTATATAAACACAATTGATTTTGGCTGGAAAATATTCCTAGAAAATATATAAAAAAATTATTTTTAGAAGAATCAAACTCATTATTAGCAAAATATTTGGTTAACCAAAATAGACAAACCAAGTCCCAATGAAAAATTATTTAAAAAGAAATTGGTGGCGCCTACCCAAAAACCGCCCAAAAATAAAAATTCATTTAATCGAAAAAAATCCAAAAATTTTTAAACTCATATAGAGTTATCGGTTTCAGTAAAATTTTTATTAACTGAAAACAACAACTTCAAACCAAAAAAATTAAAAAAAAACCTGAAGAGATTTTAAAATAGGTTTTACAACATCCCAAGATGTTCCTCTTCTCATATCCAAAACAATTACAAAACCTCTAGATTTAGCGTCATCACTTAAAAAAACAAACTAATTAAAATGTAGAAATAGGGGAAAAGTGAGGAATCCCCCCTAGCATTTAAAAAAATAATCTTCTCTCCCCAAAAATTCCCCAGAAAATTCAAATTTTTCCTACATGCTTGTCTATTTCACGGCTTGAGAAAAAGGTTGGGTCGAGTTTTTTTTTTAAATTTCCCAGATTCGATTTCGGGTCAGAAAAAATCCGTTTCGAGTATCGGATAACAACCGACATCCCTAATGTCCGTTTATAATAAAAATGAATCAACAATTTCATTCAAAAACGAGTGAAATGGATGGTTTTTATTCAAATTGTGGATGGTATTTTGGTAAGACGGCGTCTTGCCCCTGACACAGAAATTAGAAAAAATAATTAAAAATGCAGCCAGGAAAAAGGCAAAGAATCTTCCTTCTTTTGGGATTTCAAAAGACTCCCCATCCCTTCCAAAATTAGGGAATCCTTCCAAAAATTAAAAAATAATTCCCCTTGACTACGAGCCCATTAAAAATTAAAAAATATAATAAATTTTCAACTAACGCAGTAACATCATACAAATACAGCAATAAATTCCTAACATGTTCAATATTCGAATTTACATCTCTAGCTGGACAAAAAATTATTGGAGAATTGTCACGATCACGAACACCAGGTAATAAGGCTATTCGTTCACGCAAAATGTGTTCCATGTCTTCCACACGACGTAAAAAGGTATTTGAACAAGTTGGGAGAGATTGGTGGTGTTGATGCATATTATTTAAATTTTAAAAATGGTGGCAGTAGTTGGATTGAAGAAATTAAATTAAAATTAAAATTAAATTAAAATGAAGATTCTAAGTGTAGATTTAAGTAATTTAAGTAAATTTAGTTATAGGCCATTTATTAATTATCTGAAAATAAAAATAAAAATTAAGAGATGTTTGAAGTGAAGAAAAAAGTGAAGCAAAAAATGAGAAAATAATATGGGTAAGACAGATCAAAAATAAAATGAAGCAAACCTAACAAAATCGAAGCAAAAAATTAAAAATGAAGCAACACAACTATTAAAAAATGAACATAAAGCAGAAAAATAATAACTGAAATATGATTAAACTGAAGCAAAAATAAACATTGAAGCAATCATAGAAAATGAAGCAACTAGAAAATAAAAACAGAAGCAAGCCTAAAAATTTAAACAGACCTAAAAATAAAGTAAAAAATGAATAAAAAATGAAGCAAAAAATTATTAAAAATAAAACAGTGTAGCATGAAGCAAGAAATAAAGCCTAAAGCAAATTGTCAAAACTTGAAGCAAAATTACAATTAAAAATTAAAAAAGTGAAGCAAAATAGAGGAAGAATAAACAAAATACTTCTAAATAATCAATAAATACAACACGAAAATTAAATTAAAAACTGAAACAAGAACGACTTGATTTAAATAAAAAATGAAGAAAAAAATTATTGAAAACAAAACGTGTAAGTTGAAGCAAAAAATAAAACCTGAAGCAAATTGTAAAAAACATGAAGCAAAATAGGAAAAGAATAAACAAAATACTTCTAAATAATCGATCAGCACAAAATAAAAAAAAATAATAAAAAAATTGAAGCAAAAAACTGAAACAAAATTAATTCAAACAAAAACCTGAAGCAAAATTACGAAGAAACTGGGGGTAAAATTAAAAAAAAAACTAAAAATTAAAAGGTTAAATAAAGTACAAAAAAATAATTTCTTCTCGGAAAAAAAGAATAATGACGTAAAGATGATCAATCAAATAAAAATCAAATACTAAATGAATCAAAAACGAAGGAAAAAAACTTCCGTAATTTTCAAGGACGTTAAAAACAAGCTTAACAGAAAAATAACGGGAGAAGCAATTAAATTGATTAGAGACTAAATATACGAAATAGTAGAGTAGTCTTAATTAAAATGAAGAGAGTACAGATAATTAGAGAAAAATAAATAATGAAATATAAAAATACAGAATGCCAATACATTTTTTAATTAAATTGAAGCATTTATTCAAACAATAAACATATTTTGCCAAAACGACATTTTGCCAATAAGGCTAAAACTCTACATTTTGTCAACAAAGACTGTCGACAAAATGAGTAATTTTACCCTTGTTGGCAAAATGTGTTTTAGGCAAAATTGTAAACATGCTTTTTTCTTTTTGTAAGCTTTTCGTTCTTACCTAGGCCTTGGTTTTTTGGCCATAACTTGATGGAAAATGCCTGGTTTTTATCAATTTTGGTACCATTCTCCCCGGCTCGATGAGAGGAATCGTTTAATACTAAATTTGGAAAGATTAGTTAATCTTTAAGCAAGTTATGGCTCTGCGCCGTTATGGCCGTGCGCCGTTTTGGGGTCTGTCCCTGATTTTTTAATTGATTTTTTTAATTTTTAAAAATTTTTCTTTTCTTCTTTTAATCATTTTAATTATATTTTGACTATTTTAGACTTAAAATAAATATAGAAAAATGTTAATTAAAGTAAAGACTTTAACTGGCAAGGAAATTGAACTTGATATTGAGCCAACAGACAAAGTGGATCGAATCAAAGAAAAGGTGTGCTTTTTAATTTTTTAAATATTTTATTAAAAATAAAATTTAGGTAGAAGAAAAAGAAGGAATTCCTCCGCCACAACAACGTTTAATTTTTGCTGGGAAACAATTGAGTGATGACAAAACTGCTCAGGAATGTAAAGTAAATTTGAGGGGTTTTTTAATTTTTTTGAAATTTTTGTTGGATTGGGTGAATCTTGGTTGTGATATATAATATAAAGAGGGAGTAATACTGATCTCTTGTCCTCCATTTTCTTCTCAAAATTTATTTTTATTGGGTTTCCTAGGAGGGAGGGAAGTTGGACCATTATGTGTAGGGTTTTGGTTTTCGAGTCGCACCCACGTTCGGATCATTTTTACGGCTTTATTTTTTTCGGGCTGTCCCGACCGATTCTTTTTTCGGGCCAAAATTCGATGCCCGACCTGATCTTTCGGGCTGGACCGGGCCCCCAACTCTAATTATGTGCATATTTTAATAAATAGGGGGTCGAGCATGTAGATAGTTATTTCCAAAAATAATTTTTGAACTTGTCCGCAAAAAATTGCGGACAAGGATTTTATTTTTATAAAATTTTTTTCTTTCCTAACTATAAGTTTTCCAAACAATCTTCCCTTTAAATATAAGAAAATCTTTTCTTTTTAAGATTGAAGGTGGTTCTGTTCTTCATTTGGTTTTGGCACTACGTGGAGGTGATGGAGACAAATTTACCTAATTATAATTTTTGAAAGACGATCTTGGTTCATTTAAATAAAAAAAAATATTTCTTTTTTCTAAAACAACTTAATTTTTTTTTGTTTGGAAATTACACACTTAAAAGAATATAAATATTTGTTTTATTTTAAAATAAATTTTTTGGAGTCCTCACTTGAAGATTCACACTCTGAAAATCTATAACTTTTTATAGGGAATTTCGAGAGAGATTTAGAGGAAATTGATGACAAGTTTTGAGTTTTGAAGCAAACAGGTGTGTAAAAGAGAGGAAACTTGAAACAAAAAAACTTTGAAATTTGTTTAGACTAAAGTTTACTTAGAATGCCATTTCTTATCAATTTCTAAAAAGCCTAATTTCTTTTTTCAGCCTAAATTTCTAAAAAAATTTTCTCACAAGGGAACATTCCGAACTGTGACCAAAAATTTTTTTATAAAAATTATACCATCGTGTAGAGCATGGTCGATAGCCTATCCCTATATATTTCTTTTTTGGCCCTGACCCCCATTTCGAAAAGTTATAGGGCTTCAAAGTTTCCGACTTTTGGAGCGGTTGAGTCGCCCCCACTTTTCTTATTATTTGTCTTCCTCAAGGGAAAAATGAGACTCCTTTTCTCCATTTTTCCTTTCCTTTTCTTCTCCCATGTTGGTTAAAGAAAGAGAAAAAGAGGAGAGGAAAGAAAAGGAAAAGAGAATCTCTGCCTCCTCCTCTTTCCTTTTTAATTGACATTAGCCGCAAGGCAGGGGCGCCTCTTTTCCTTTTCTTTCCTCTCCTCTTTTTCTCTTTCTTTAACCAACATGGGAGAAGAAAAGGAAAGGAAAAATGGAGAAAAGGAGTCTCATTTTTCCCTTGAGGAAGACAAATAATAAGAAAAGTGGGGTTTTTTAATAATTAAAAAAATAAATTCTAAATCTAAAAAACATCCAAAAATAATTTTTTTATAACACAAAATTTAAAAAAATATAACAAATAAATAATTGCTTATTGCAATAGTCTTGTAGTAATAAGTAAGGATCGCTTAAGGATAAGTTTTTAGGCTGTTCATCTCCCTTTTTGCTAAATAGCAAAACGATTTTTAAAGAACCTGTGGGTAGCTAATTCAGTAGTTATAATATATTTGAACGTAGGAAATTTTTCACCTTTTCATCTTCTCTCAGTTTTACATTTAAGCTTGCTACTTTTAACACATCCAAAGCACCTCAAAAAAGACCAAAATATTCAAGGTCCGCTGACGAAAATTTTGTTCTCAGAATTAAATATTACGTTGATGTTTTTTGATCCTCTAAATCCAGAACTCGTAAAGTTATTTTTTTTGTTCAGATTGTAAGAGTTAATCCACTCAATTGTGAAAAATTCGGAAGTTCGGGCGATGAAATAACAATTCACCGTAATCTCAATCTTTGTCTCGCTCTTGCCTTGAATTGTTCCAAAATTAGGTTCAAAAGTGGGTATTGTAGAATTTGTAGACAATAGAAAATGAATCGCTTTCTGGCCCGTATTTTGAATAAAGAATTGAACAGTTTGGATACCACCCGAGTATGGGTTAATGTAGATTGCTTTTGTCGGTGTTGTGGAAATTGTTGGGGGCGGAGTACAAGCCATTTTGTCTATATAATTGAACAAAAAAGTTGGAAGGAAAGTTGGTTTATGTACGGAAAATGATGAGAAAGAAATTAAATAATCGCTAGCTTTTATACCAACTCACAACAAAAATTTACTCTAAATCCAGAATTTGTGAAATTGTTTTTTTTTTGTTCAAGTTGAAAGAATTGATCCAATCTATAGTAAAGATTTCCGAAGGTATATTGGCGAAATAACTTATTTCGCATATAACTTATTTTCGCAAATAACTTATTATATTTCGCAAATAAGTTATTTCGCCAATATACCTTCGGAAATCTTTACTATAGATTGGATCAATTCTTTCAACTTGAACAAAAAAAACAATTTCACAAATTCTGGATTTAGAGTAAATTTTTGTTGTGAGTTGGTATAAAAGCTAGCGATTATTTAATTTCTTTCTCATCATTTTCCGTACATAAACCAACTTTCCTTCCAACTTTTTTGTTCAATTATATAGACAAAATGGCTTGTACTCCGCCCCCAACAATTTCCACAACACCGACAAAAGCAATCTACATTAACCCATACTCGGGTGGTATCCAAACTGTTCAATTCTTTATTCAAAATACGGGCCAGAAAGCGATTCATTTTCTATTGTCTACAAATTCTACAATACCCACTTTTGAACCTAATTTTGGAACAATTCAAGGCAAGAGCGAGACAAAGATTGAGATTACGGTGAATTGTTATTTCATCGCCCGAACTTCCGAATTTTTCACAATTGAGTGGATTAACTCTTACAATCTGAACAAAAAAATAACTTTACGAGTTCTGGATTTAGAGGATCAAAAAACATCAACGTAATATTTAATTCTGAGAACAAAATTTTCGTCAGCGGACCTTGAATATTTTGGTCTTTTTTGAGGTGCTTTGGATGTGTTAAAAGTAGCAAGCTTAAATGTAAAACTGAGAGAAGATGAAAAGGTGAAAAATTTCCTACGTTCAAATATATTATAACTACTGAATTAGCTACCCACAGGTTCTTTAAAAATCATTTGGCTATTTAGCAAAAAGGGAGATGAACAACCTAAAAACTTATCATTAGACAAGCAATCCTTACTTATTACTACAAGACTACAAGGGCCTAGCCCCCCCCCCTCCCCCGAAATCGACCCCCTAGCTACGCCCTTGCAAGACTATAGCAATAAGCTTTTGGGTGAATATAAACATTTCCGGAAAACACAAAAAAACATTTAAAAATACTTTCATGTTTTTACCCTCGTCATCCTTCTTCTTCAAAAAAGCACAAAAAGTTTTGTTGTTCTCCATTTAATTAGGTTGTTTCTTGTTTATTTTGAAGTTTTGATGTGTTTCAAGAGCATTTTGTTGTTGAATCTAAAAAAAATAAAAAAATTTTAATTAAAAATATTTTTATTTAAAAAGAAACCCTCAAAAGAACATTTTGACTCTTCAAGGACTATATAGATTTTAAAATTCTGTAGGAGGCAATAGAAAATTTATTTCTTAACTGTTAAATAACCAGAATTTACACCTTAACACAATTTGGGGACTAGGGCAGAAAATAATCTCCAGAGTAAAAAATTTATTTGTCTATCCTATACCTATCCAATACTCATTTTAAATGCCGTCAACCCAAAATTAAATGATAAAAAAACCTTTTTTTCAATTTCAACATCAGTTCTGTAGGAAACATAAGGTCTCAACGGAGAACCAGTCAAATCAGGAACAATTAGTTCTGGAATCATTTTAGGTAGATGAACAAATTTGCCTGTATTTGAGTCGTCATAGCGCTGTTGGTTGAACACCAGTGTATCCTTTAAAAACTTTTTTAATGGCAAACAATTTAAGAGAGAAGGAAAGGGGGCGGGGCTTAGTGGGGGGAAACTACACAAGTGCTCTCAAGAAAGATGGGGTGTACAAGGAACGTGTTAATTAAGGACCTTGTGCAAAAGAAAGAGTTTACAAAAGTTTAGCCACCGGGCAGGATTGGCAGGACCACAGGACACCTGCGACCTCATGACAGTTATTGCTAGGCGTTTTCTGTATGCAGGAGCTCTACCTCTGAGCTACCGGGGCATCGATTAATGCTTTCTCTTTTTCCTTTTTAGATCGTTTATCCCCCGCCTATGCGTTTTATATGCTGCTGGGTGAATCATCCTTACACAAATTCGTGACCTCAAGTATAGGAACCCCGAAAAACTATTTGCTTTCGACTATTGATCCAGCAAAATTTAAGGTCCTGATCCAACAACAGGTCAATCACTACTTTCCTTATTAACATCCCTCCCCCCTCCCTAATTAAAAAATAGCAAAACAAACGTCTCAATTCCATTGTATTATTCTTCTGCCATTTAGGAGACAATTCAGGAAATTCTCTATTCTGTCCAGGCCATTTCCACGATTCATGATGCAGTGGACCTATTTTCCGAAGTCCTTTAGCGCCCTTCTTTGCAAATCCCCAAGGAGCTTTAAAGTGTGATGGAATTAATGTTCTAACAACCATTTTTGATTAAACAGGTCTAAATTAGAAGAAAATAAAAATTAAAGTGAGCCCACAAGTCAGGGATCCAATGAGGTACTTTCCGGTTTGCCACACCCCTCCCATATATTCGCAAGATATTATTTCTATACTCATTAATTCTTACAGAAAGGTCAGTCTTCTTTCTTCCTCAATTTCACTCAATTTTCCTTGTGGTATGTTCAAAGAGCAAAGAAAAGATTAATTTCTTTCCATTGTGAAATTAAGGAAGAAGGAAGACTGACCTTTCTGTAAAAATTAAGGAAAAAACGAAATAATACCCTGCGAATATATGGGAGGGGTGTGGCAAAACCGAAAAGTACCTCAAGTGAAGAAGATTAACCCAGAAAACCCCACAAGTCTATAAAAATACTGGGAATTTAGAACGGGAATGCTCAAAATCCCATCAGATCACCTTAGTATCACCCCTAATTAAAGCTAGAAAATTTTTAAAAATTAAGTGAAGCTGTGAAATAGTGTGTAAAAATAAGAGAGTAGTTAGAGAAAAATAAATAAAACAAAATAAACACTATGCCAAACTCATTAATTTGTGGAAACTTTCAAAATTAAAAATATAAGCAGGTTTAACGTTTTAGAAACTCTCTGAATCAGTAACTACGGGTTGAAAATTTGAGCTTAAGGTATAATAATCTTTAATTTGCAGTAGAGATCGGTAAAATCGCATTCCCGGGATCGCGTAATGGGATTTTTTTCAGCATTTTATACGGGACGGCATCCCGCGGGATTAATCTCGTCTTCCGCGTAAAATCCGCGAAGCGGGACGGGATCCCGACGGGAATTCTAAGACCTAAGAAGACGTTCTTTAAAAAAGTTCTCCCCCGACGGACCGTGGACCAATATTTTATGATATCATGGATTAGAGATCGAGCTGGACCTGGACGAAGGCCTAAGTTTTTCCTGTACCCAGAGTCCAGGTCCAGGCATTTTTTGACCTTCCTGGGTTTTCCTGGACTACAGGCCCAGGATCCAGTCCAAGTCAAGAAATCAACTCCAGAGTCCAGGAACAGGTCTAGGCTTTTCAAAAATCTCAATCTCTATCATGGATGTCTAAACAAATTTGAAGTTTGTTTAAACATAAAAAATTTTTCTGAAATTTTAATTTTTCCAAATTATACAGATTTAAATATGATAAAATATCAAAATTATCTTTTATCAATTTTCTTCTTTCCTTTCTAATTATCTCTTCCTCTCATTTGTTCCAAATTCTGGCCTGATTGGACTGTAGCAGCTAACGCTTTGAGATCTAAATTTAAAGGAACTGGCTTATGTGGAGGTCCTTCTGGAGGGTCAAAAAGACGTCTTTTCTGATAAATTTAGAAAATTATTTTTATTTTTCAAAAAATATTCACAGTTGTCGGCGGCCTGTCATTACTATGCCATCGCAAATGGGCCTTCAAGTGTGAACTTCTGCTATACACTTTATGACAGCCAGGAACATGACAGTTGTGTTTTTCGTATTTTTGGTCTATTTGTGCACCTGTTTTTATTTTATTTTTGTAAGAAAATAGAAATAAGGGAAATTACAAAAAATAAAATTGTAACCAAAACATTGAAAAATACTCACAAAAATACAAACAACAAATTTACAAACTTGACTTAAAAATTAATAAATAGAATATCAAAACATTAAAAAAAACTTAAACATAGAACTTAAGTATGCAAATATAAAAATGCTTGAAAATGTTTTTACAAACTTAAAAACTTAATTATAAAACTTGGACACAAAACTTAATTTACAAACTTAAAAATTCAAGTTTATTAAATGTTTCCGGATATTTAATAATTTTATGAACTTGAAAACTTACATAAGTTTATAATAAACTTAAGTTTAAATGTTTCCGGAAAATTCCGGAAAGTTTTTAAAATTTCCGGAAAGTTTTACAAATTTAAATATTACAATTTACAATCTTTCAAATTACAAAATACACAAATTCAAGTTTATTTTAAACCCCCACCTAATCTTTCCAATTCTTTACAGTTTGGACATTCACAGTTGTTTTTAGTATTTACACTTGTTCTCATTTTACCGCCTGCCTTGTTTTTAAGTTGTTGGGATGATTGTTTACCAATGTTATTATTTTTACTAGAACGAAGTTTGTGTTGGTCGAATTGTGAAATAATTGTTGAAGTTGAGGAGGTAGAAAAAGAGCGCTCTTGTGGTTGAGGAATATTTGTTTCTTGGGTGTTTTGTTGTAATTCTCTAGTTGTTGCTAATGTTTTCAAGTCTGCAAAGGAAGCAGAAAAGGAGGGGTATGACTGAGAGAGTGAAGAACGGTCCGATGTTGTTGAAGAAAAGAAATTGGGGGAGAAGGAAGTTTGTGAAGGGTGAACTAGGGCTAAAATTAAATCTTAATGAAGTAACTATTAAATTAGTAAATGTTTCCGGAAAGTTCTACAAATGTGGATATTACAATTTACAATCCGTAATCCTACAATTCAAGTTTATTTAACTTTGCGATTTTTCCGGAAAGTTTATTTATTTTTTCGTTTTCCGGAAATATAATTTGCTTATTATATTCCGGAAAGTTTTATAAACCTAACTTTTACAATTCATCTTTTCCGGAAAGTTTATTTTCCGGAAAATAAAATTAAATATTACAAACTTAAATTTTCACAAACACTAACTGTTACGGTTCCGGAAAGTTTTATAAACTTAAGTGCTACAATTAATTTTACAATTTGTAAATCTAAGTTTTACAATTAATTAATTATTACAATTTGTAAATTCAAGTTTTACAAATTCAAGTTTATTTTTATTACCTCCCAAAGCATTTCCCAGATAACCGCTTCCATCGCCTCCCCAACTTCCTCTAAACCCCGCAGCACTATTTATTCCTTCCCCTTCACCTCTACACAATAAAGCTGCCATTTCCCCACTCCAGCTAGTCGAAGCAGCAGCCTGAGCAACTGCAGCGGCCTGATTTTGTGTTTAATTACAATTTTGTTTTAATTTTAATTTTTACCATTGTGGGGGCAAGCTGAGCATACGAAGACAACATTAATACAGAGGGAGAGGATGGATCGAGAACGAATGGGGAAGAATAGGAAGAAAGGTTGCCAAGTTGTTGTGCATTTATTAAAGGGTCAAAAAGTGTTGAGGCTGAAAAGGGAAGGACTTAAAATAAAAATATTTTTATTTACTTTCCAAATTCTCCTCTGAAGATGTTGGTTGTTGAAGTAAATGGGAATCTTTCAGTTGTGATAAGGATGAGGAGGAAGCCGGCAATTTGGGTGTAAAGGAGGACGAAGCAGTTGAAGATGGGAATTCTCCGTCATGATTGAGACGCTCTTGAATCTTAAAAAAATTTTTTTAGAGGAAAATCCCCTAGAAAAACACCTCAATCAATTTATCCAAAGGACTCGAAACAACGCCTCCAACAACGCCTCCCACAAACGACGAGGGAAAAGAAGGCATTAAAGTTGTTGTGGAGACCAAATCAGAAGAAACTCTATTAGAAGAAATAATATTTTGTTCGCCAACATGTTGTGAAGCATTCCAACTTTCTAAAACAAAGTTTGTATTGTTGTTGTTATTTGTTGTTGTTCGATTTGTTTTTGTTGTTTTGTTGGTATTATTAGTTGTTGGGATAATTAGGTGTTGGTCAGTTAATGATGTTTGTTGCATTTCAAACATTTGTTTTGTAAAACTTGTATTTAAACAAAACAAGTTTATTTATAGGTTTTGATAAAATAAACTTGTTTTCCGGAAAGTATTTTTATTTTCCGGAAAGTGTTCTATACTCTCTTAACCTCTTTTCCGGAAAATATAATTATTTTTTCCGGAATGTAATATAACTTCCGGAAATGTAATATAATTTTCCGGAAAATGTTTTATATTTTCTTAACTTTTCCGGAAGGTATAGGTAATTATTATATTTTTCCGGAAAGTTTTATATTCACCAATTTTTCCGGAAAATATAATTATTTCCGGAATGTAATATAATTTCATTTATATTTGCTTAACTTTTCCGGAATGTATAATTATTATATTTTTCCGGAAAATTTTATATTCACCAATTTTTCCGGGATATATTTTCAGTATATTCCTCTAGCTTTACAGAAGCACGATTTAAATCAACTCTTATTCCTACGCAAATCTAACTTCCAATTATTTTCTAGTTTATAAAATAGCAAAGATGACAAAATTAAAGTTAGATTTATTTTAAAAGAATCTCATAAAAATGGGCAATTTCAAATTTCCACACATTTCAAACGAGCGCATTTTTCAGGAGGAAGATTTGTTGTTTATTGAGAAGGTAGAAGAGGTGGTTAGGTGGATTCCGTTGGAAATTGGCACTTTCTAGTGTACACAAAAATCTCAAACAAACAACAAATGGTTGTAGAGAAAGGGGATTTTTTCTTTTAGTTTTTTTACTACCCTCCCCTTTCTTCTCCTCAAACATTTTTTTTGTCTTCCATGATTTTTTATCCACTCTTTTTATTTTTTTATGGGAGGTGATCTTATTTGAAGGCTTTCTTCTTTAAGACAAATAACCCCTCAAAAGGGTACAATCTAGTGAGAAAATCTGAAATAAATTAAAATGCTTGTTGAGATGTTGAAATTTGGAATTGAAAAAAGAAATTTGGAATATGTAGTAAAGGAGAGTTGAAGGAGAAAAAGTAAAATAATTATTTAAAATAAATAAACTTTCCGGAAAGCTATATAAATGTTATAAAAATTTTTCTATGGGTGTTCCGAGAAATGAATGATAATACTTTCCGGAAATTATATTAATGTACATATTTCTTCTAAGTTTCCGGAAGAAACCGGAAACTAATAAATTTCCGGAAAATATAGGTATATAATGTTACGGAAAAATTTTTAGGAAAATACGTATTTATTCCTTCAGCTTATCGTTAAATAGAAAAATACAAAAGAGAAACTTCCGGAAATCTCTTTTTTTCCGGAAAATTAATAAAAATACTTTCCAGAAAAGAATTATAAGTATATAATTTTCCGGAAAAGAATTATTTGGTCGTTCAATTTATCATTAATTTAGAAAACGAAAATAAGAGACTTTCCATAAAACTTTTAAGAAATTACGTATTACTTATACTATACTAAAACAAATTTTCTTATAATTATATATTTTTTACTAAATTTAAAAAATAAAAAAAAAACATTTTCTCAAGTAAAAATTAAAAAAACTTGCGGCAGAAGGATTGCGCAAAATGCTGTCTTTTTTGGCTAATTTACGCTTAATGGTCCAACGCCTCGCTAAAATAAATGTTTGGTTTTGAGCTTTTCATGAACGTCACGGCTACAGTTTACTCTTATGGGCGGGGTTTGTGAATATTCCTTTTACTGGCTATGAGATGGGATGAATAAATTATTTTTTGGAGAAAAATAAACGGATTTAACTCTCCATTGATGTTTTAAAAATAATTTAATAATATAAAATAGTTGAAGCTTCAGAGCCTCGTAAATAATATTAGGCTTGGAATTAAACGAGGTAATGAAAAAGTTGAAGCAGAATTCCTTCTTTTTCATATTGAAGTAATTAATATTTAATACCGAATTTTCTTTGAGTTTCCGGAAAGAATTATACACTATAAATATATTTTCCGGAAAACTTAAAAATACACTATCAGTATATTTTCCGGAAAGTTTAATTAATACTTAATTTATTTCTTTACATTTTCCGGAAAGTTTAATAATTTAATGTATTTTGAAGGACTTCCGGAAAGAATATACATCGAAAGTATATTTCCGGAAAGTTTAATATATAATCTATTTTATATTTTCCGGAAAGTTTAATTTATACTTAATTTATTTTTTTATATTTCCGGAAAGAATATACACCTATCAGTATATTTTCCGGAAAATTTAATAAGCAATATATTTTTCAAGTTTTCCGGAAAGTATTATACACTATAAACATATATTTTTCCGGAAAGTTTAAATTATTTCTATAACTATAATTTAATTGTAGCAAGGTTTCAGAAATACAATATTAGAGCAATTACAACTTTTCCCATTAAATATTCATTAAATAAATATTTATTTACCTTAGCTACGCTTCTCTCATTTTCTCTCTCGGTTGATCCTCCCCCTCAAATTTTTTTCTTATTTCAATGCCATTATATATATTATACTCGGGACCCATAATTAAGTGTTTACACATTTATCTTCTTTTTTTATCCCATTTTTTGTTAGTTCAGAAGCATTTAGTAATGCGCAATTTACCGTATATTTTAATCGTTTTTAGAAAAATGAGGGGGAAAAGTGGTTTTTCTGCTCATCTTCTATTTTAAATCATTAATATTTTTATGTTAAGTAAATATTATTTTTTTAAATAATTTTTTAATAATTTTTAAGATCTGAAAAATTATTTTTTAAATTATTTTTAATTTTTATTTGGGACATTTTACGGTATGGACAATCTACCGTGTTGAGTAAAAATATGGGTTTCTTGTGAGGGAAATCAGTGGGGGATTTTACGATATAGACGATTCACTGTTTCAGGTGGAAATCCTAGTCTCTTCTGGAAAATCTAGGAGAGATTTTACGGTATGGATAACTAACTATATTAAATCAAATCCTAGTCTTTTGTGAAAAATCCGGGCTACAGGTGGGGGCAGGCGGAAAAATAAATATTTTTCTCAATACGTATCGGCAAACTAAAAAAGAAAAGATTTAAGAAAAATAGCAATTTGTAAGGATAATTTAAATAAAAATAAATATTTTTGATATTTAATTATAATGTAGAATTTAATTATTTTGGTTGCCATCGAGCTTTATTCTGTTTAATAGAAGACTTGTTGTTAGGCAAGCTTTAAAAAGAGGCATCTTTTTGAATTTTAATTTTTTTGAAATTTTCGAAATTAATTGGCACATAAAAATTAAAATAAAATTGAGAAGAGACGGAAATTTAAAAAAAAAAAGTGGAAAAGAAATTTAAAATTAAAAATAAAATTGTAAAGCAGAATAAAATAAGTTAAAACTTAACAGAACAGTAATTACATTTTTAACACAAGACTTAGGTTAAACAAGAAAGAAAATAAGTTAATTTTAAAATACAAGGAATAAGAAGTATGAGAAACATTTCGGATAAATTAGGGGTTAAAATAAAGTTTCCGGAAGAGTTATATACTTATAGTTAATATTTCCGGAAAACTAATATAATATAATAAACTTTCCGGAAAAGTGTATTTTACAACTTAAAGAAATTTCCGGAGAAAAATAAAAATTACGATTCATTTATTTCCGGAAATTGGTGGAAATAGGTTTCCGGAAGAGTTATAGAATTATAGCTAATATTTCCGAAAAACTAATATACTTAATAAACTTTCCGGAAAGAGTGTACTTTACAACTTAAAGAAATTTCCGGAAAAAAAAGAAAAATAATATAATTAATTTATTTCCGGAAATTGGTTAAATAAGTTTCCGGAAGAGATATATACCTATAGCTAATATTTCCGGAAAACTAATATAATAAATTAAACTTTCCGGAAATGAAAATATTTAAAGGAGGCTGAATTTGAGTCAAGTAGTGTTAAAGGTATTAGTGCAGAAAAATAAAATAAAAAAATAAACAAAGCCTAAATATCCAAAAATCAAATAAAGGCTATAATTCTCGATTTTTAGGTTGCGTAACTCAGAAAGAATTGTCTTTGTTTTTTCTTTATTTTGCGAGCTTTATTCTGTTTATTTTTTCAATTCCCAGTCATAAACGTTTTATTCTCTTTTTTTCGAGATGCCGCTAAACGTCGTCCTCATTTTCGGCACCTTTAACAGGAAATCACATTAAAATAGAATTTTTAGGTAATTTTATTGTGAGGTCATTTACTGGAATATTTATTATACACTCATAAACAAAAAGATAGGGACAAGAGTGGGTGGATTGAAGAGTACCTATTTTTTCAGTTAAAAATCTACATTTATTTCAGTATGGGCTGGGTATCGAAAAAATATTAATCCGGAAAATTTTTTACTTATTAAATAGAGAATTAAAGAGGTTATTTAATTAAACAAAAAAATTTTTCCGTAAACGAATTTTTAACTGGGAAAATAGGCAATATTTATTCTCTATTAAGGTAGTCGGTTCTTGAAAATCTTCGGATATCCGGAACAGAACCGGAAAATCCCTATGTTCCCTATCTTTTGCCTACCTATAACTGTATATTTTTTTGTTTTTTTATTTAAAAATAGATTTAATTTTTTTTCATACTAATATAAATTTTTCTTATTTTTCTTCTCCATTTTTAAACAAAAAATTCAAAATTTATTTTTATTTATTTTTAAAATAATTATTTATTTTTAATAGCCAAATAGCCTCATTTTTCTTCCATTTTCTCTCACATCTCCCACAATTTATTTTATTTTTTCAATTGCCAAATCACTGACATATTGCCTAATACTAATTCCACACATCATTTTACAAAAAAATATTTTTTCGGCATTTTTATTCTTCAAAAAACATATTTTTTAATTACCCAAGTAACATATTTTTTGGGGAAAGGTAACAAGTAGTTAAAAAGGCGGTTTAGTTTTATTGCTACAGAAATGAGTTAATCGCACTCATTTTACAATATTTTTTAGTGAAAGAAGAAGAAATTTGAATTTTTTTAAAACAATTTTAGAAAATTAATTAATTGTCTAAATAAAACATTCAATTGAAGCCACGGTTCAACCTTCCCAAACTTCATTTCCTAGCAAATTTGATCTCCTTGCAACATTAGAACGTTCCTCTCAGACTTAAAAATAGGGTAGCACCCTATTCCCCCGAAACCCTGACCACAACGATTTTTTGGCAAAAAACTCCGAAGGCTCTACTCTGCTCTGAGTCGGGCGGAGTCGAGTAAAAAAATAACCCGACTTCCGACGTGTCCTCGCCAACAGAAAACAATCCTCGACACTATCGACCCTTAAGGGTCAGGGTGCTACCCTGCTTAAAAACATTAGCGCAACAACTAGAGAATTTTTTATAATAATTAAAAAAATAATCATCCCAACAACTTAAAAACAAGGCAAGCGACAACATGAGGTTAAGTGTAAATACTAAAAACAACTGTGAATGTCCAACTTGTAAAGAATTGGAAAGATTAGGTGAGGGTTTTAAATAAACTTGAATTTGTGTTTTTTGCAATTGGTGTAATTGAGAATAGTAATATATTTAAATTTTAAAACTTTTCAGAAGAAAACTGCCCGGAATTTTCCGGAAACATTTAAACTTAAGTTTATAATGAACTTAAGTTTTTAGTTTTAAAGTTAGTGAGAGATCTAGAAACATTTAATAAACTTGAATTTTTAAGTTTGTAAATTAAGTTTTGTTTCCAATTTTCTGTTGTTTTTGTTTTTATTGTTTTTTACAAAAATAAAATAAAAACAGGTGCACAAATAGACCAAAATAATGAAAGACACAATTGTCATATTCCTGGCTGTCATAAAGTGTATGGCGAAAGTGAATTCTTGATGGCTCATTTGGAATGGCATAAAAATCAACCACCTACAACAGTGAATTTTTTTGAAATTTTTAAAATAAAACATATTTTTAACAGAAACGACGTCTTTTTGACCCTTCAGAAAGACCTCCACCGAAGCCAGTTTCTCCAAATTTAGATCTCAAAGCGCTAGCTGCTACAGTCCAATTAGGCCAAATTTTAGAACAAATAGACCAAAATAACGAAAAACACTATTGTCGTGTTCCTAGCTGTCATAAAGTGTATAGCGAAAGTTCACATTTGAAGGCCCATTTGCAATGGCATATAAATGAAAGTGTAGAGAAAAGTGATGAAATAATTTGTAAAATTGAAGATATTTAAATTTGTAAACTTACCGGAAACAGTTAATGTTAAATTTCAATCAAGTTTTGAATTAAAGTTTTTGTAATAAACTCAAGTTTTTAAGTTTGTAAAGGTAGTAAGTGGTAGATAAGCTTGAATATTTATTCAGTTATAGGTCATCTAAATTCAGTCAACTAAATTTGCCCCTCGATCTCGGCTTTTCTAGCCTAGGTGATCCACGACTTGGTGTTTTTCCTAAAACTCTAGTTCAAATAAGTTGTGTGTTCAGGTTTTGTAATTAAGTTTTTAAGTTTGTAAAGGTAGAGGGAGACCGGAAACATTTTTTAATTAATATTATAATTTAATATACTTGAATTTTTAAGTTTGTAATTTAAGTTTTGTTTCCAAGTTTTTTAATTAACTCAAGTTTTCAAGTTTGTAAAATACCTTATAAACAATTTTCTTTCCGGAAAACATTTCCGGAAATGTTTAATTAATATATTAACCAATCCGGAAAGTTTAACATGGTAATATTAAAGTTTCCGGAAAAATGTTTTTCCGGAAATAATAAATTAATATTATAACCTTTTTTATTATAACCTAGGAGGCTTTCCGGAAAATGTTTTCCGGAATTAATTAATTAATTATATAACCAACTTAGTTTATATTCTCATATAACACACCAAAATACCTTATAAAAATCATAATAATTTTCAATATTTCTTTAATCTTTCCTAAACCTTTATTTATCTATTTCCATCATCAACATAATATTTAATAGCAATTTATGAGGGCATTTTAGTTGTGGCTCATTTTTTAGTCGGAAGCTCTATTTGCAACAGATTGGCGCGAAGACAAAAACCCTATCCAAACACATCTACCTATCTATTTTCATTTTTTATAATTGCTTCAAATTTAAAGGAAAATAAAAAACGGCACCGCTGCACATCTGGGAATACTTTATATTTTTTTAAAGAAAAAGGAGGAAAAATAAAATGGAAAAAATATTATTTTACAGGCATACACGCTTTCCGGAAACAATTCCGGAAAACACATTTAAATATTTTAAAACCAGTTTAGAGTATTCTACAAAAGATTGGTATATAGACTTAGTTTATATTCTCATATAACACACCAAAATACCTTATAAAAAATCTTATAAACCAAAATACCTTATCTGCATCCATATCCGTACTCGTGGATACGGATATGGATGCAGATAATATCAAAATACCTATGGATATCCGCCTGTATCCGCCGTAAATATCCGGATACCAAAATCAGTATCCGTGACCAGGTCTGGATGCTTATAGTGAAAGACAGTAGAAGTTTGATGGTCAAAATCTAAAGCTTATTTTAAATTTCTTTACTAATAAAAAATGTTTGTGGTGTTTGAATTTAAATTTATTATTATTAAAAAGAAGGAAAAAAAGTTGAGACAATGTAAGGATGAAAAGGATTAAAATAAGCTTGTTAAGTTTATTGTCTAACACTGCTGGAAGTATGTAAAAAAGCGTGGATTGAATTTGAATATCTTCGCATAATAAGTAAAGAACAATCCAACACTAAAAAAGTTGCAGAACAATGACTATTATTGTGTGGAGGTGATGAAAAGATATTAAAAAGAAAATAGAAATTTTTTTAAATACTAACAAAAATTCCAACTTGTTTTACAATTCTAAAACATGGGGTTGAATTTGATTGTAAATAAAGTTGGTATTTGTAAAAACAATTCCAGCATTTTTTACAATCCAACTTTGTTACAAACTCCAACTTTTCTTTTGTAAATCCAACATTTTTACAAATACAACTTTTTTTTGTAATCCAACTTGTTTTACAATTCCAACCTTTTTACAACCTTTTATATTTTATTAATTTAAAACTTGTTTGAAATTAAGTTTGATTTACAACTTTTTTTTGTTTTACAACAAATTAAAATATTAAAGTTTGTTTCCCATTATTACAACTTTGTCTCAATTCCAACATCCCTTTCAGTCTATTTTAAATTATTCAGCATACAGTTTTCTCTCTGTATTGAATTAGAAAGAGATTAAATGGAAAAACAAGCAATCCGGTCAATCAAGTTTTATAGTATTTTTAAGGAGGTTAATCTCGAAAAACATAATTTTTCCTCAATTGAATAGAAGGAAAACGGAAATTAAAGTCAATCCATCAATTTGTGCCTTTCTTAAAAAATAATTTCTTTTCTGTTGCGCAATTCTACAAGTTAATTGTGGAAATTATTTTGAAAAAAAATTCTTGTTATTCTTTGGATTTTAAGGAAATAACCGATTAATATAACAAAAAAAATCTCTAATTTTTGATAGATAGACTTCTCAAAAAATAACAAACTCATTATCCCTTGGATAAACCTAAAAGCCTACACAGCCCTCAAAATTAAGGAATTTATTTTTTTTATTCCCTTCAACTCATTTTTTATTTTTCTATGCTGATGTGTGGGCGTCTCAAAAATGTGTTAGTTAGTATAAAGGCAAAGATGATCCCATTAGTTTTTTTAATTATACTAGGATTTGTTTTACCCTGCAGCTGTTTCCTGTTTTCACAAATGTAATATAAAAAGAGAGAGGGAGAGACAAGCAGAGAAATGTTTGGAAAATAATTGTAAAATGTTTTAAAAAAAGTTTGAAACAAGTTTTGAAACAAGTTTAAAAAAACAAGTTGGAAAAGTTTTAAACAGAACAAGTTTGTTGTTTAAACTTTCCGGAAAACAAGTTTATTAAATTTCCGGAAAAGAATAAAAACAAGTTGTAAAGTTTATGTCAAGTTTAAACTTGAATTATTTTACAATTTGTAAAACAAGTTTTAAATTATTTACAAATTAAAAAGTTTTACAAATTGCAAATGTTAAAGTTCAAATCCAAGTTGGAAAAAAGAAAAACAACTAGGTATTACGACAACAGAGAAATTAAATTTGTTCGTAATATCCTCAATTTAAGACAAATTAGAGAAAAACAAAAATGTTTTCCTTCAACTAACGCCTGTTCAATCTAGATATATCTAAACAGGCGTTCACATCCGATCTAAAAATGAGGAAAGAAAAATGAGGGCAGTTCTGAGAGAAGTTGAAAGCTATTGAAGAGTGAGTCCACCAAATATTTTTGATTCGCTTTTCCCCATATTAAACTTAAATTTTAGTTTACTCTAAACAAAATTTCTTTAATTTTAAAGCCCCATCCATTATTAATTATTTAATCAATTTAATAAAATTTAGTATAGATACAATCCCTAAAAATCCCTTAAGAACACTTAATTTATTTTATAAATTAAGCCTTTCTAATCTTAAAATAAAATTTTTCAATAGCTCTATTAAAGATTTTAAACACAAAAAATGTCTTCTCGGCAAACTCCCGGTGGACTTGGTTTCCAAGTAGTTGCCAAACAGGCAAGCAAATACAACGATTATGAAGGCGAAATGTTGCTTAAATGGATAAAGAAGTTGAGCGGTGAAGGATTCCAGCCAACCGGGAACCGTGAAAACTTTTACAACTTGTTGAAAGACGGGACCCTTTTATGCAAGTAAGTAGACTGTTTTAATTCTGGAAAGAATAATACTCGCTATGAAATTTTATCCGGAAATTCTATTATATTATTTAAACTTTCCGGAAAACAAGTTTATTAATATTTCCGGAAAACTTAGAATTTATAATTGTAAAGTTTGTATTTCCATTGCGATTTTTCCGGAAAACAAGCTGAATATATAATTCGTTCCGGAAAGTATGTCTATTAATATTAGAACTTAGTTAATATGTTTAAACTTTCCGGAAAAACATATAGATTACAATTTCAAGTTTGTAATATCCCTTGCTACTTTTCCGGAAAACAAGTTTTAAGTTTGAACTCAAGTTTTACTATATGTATTGTTTATAAACTTAAAAACTTAAGTTTCAAGTTTATTATTTTTTAAGGACTGCAAATGCACTTAAACCAGGCACCGTTAAAAAAATACAAAATCCAACTGGCGGAAACTTTGCCTGCATGGAGGTAATTTAAGTTTAAATAAATTAAAAAATCTTTTCTATAGAATATCAACGCCTTTGTAAAATTCGCAAAAGAAACAGGCGTTCCAACAGAAGAACTTTTCCAGTCTGTTGATTTGTTCGAAGCTCGCGACTTGTTCTCTGTCTGCGTCACGCTTTTATCGCTTGGGCGAATTGTAAAAAAAAAATTTTTTAATTTATTTTTTTAATAAAAATTTATTTTAGTTGGAGAAGCAAGGCAAATCCAACCCCTATTCTGGATAAACAAGAAAAAAAGAATTTAAGTGAGTGGTAGAGAATAATGGATATTTGCCGTTATTTTGCTACTAAATACATTATTTCCCATCTATTGAAATGTATCCATATTTAAAAGAATTTGCTATATATGGAAATTTTTTTAGTAAAAAATGATAAAAAAGTGTGGTGGTTTTTAGAATATTCTTTATTTTTTTTTGTAAAAATTTTATAAAAATTTAAAAATCTGAAAAAAAATTTTTTCAAGTAAAAAATCTTGAGAAAAAATTGATAATTTATCAAAAAAAAATTTTTTTTTATTCTTTTTTCTCCCCTTCTGGTAATGACAAATCAAAAAGCACCGGGTTGTTTAAAGGCGTGTTTTTATCCGAACATATTGCAGCATTAATAAATAAAGTTTCACCGTTTGTTGTAGCAACAGGTTTGGGTTCGTGTGTGTGACCAAAGACATGAACTCTAAAAAAATAATAAGAACAAGTTGCAGGCCCGTAGCCAGGGGGGGTAGGGGGGGGGGGAATTCCCCCCCCCCCTCCCCCCCCCCCCCCCCCGAAATGGGGAAAAGGAAAAATTTTGGGGAAGGGCTGGGGCAAAAAAAAGTGAATTTTTTTGGCCTACGGCCTCTATAATTTAAAAAATTTTCGGAAGAAATCTGGCTTCTTGAGCTCCAAAATTCAAAAAATTTTCGCCTGCGGCGCTGAAAATAAAAATTTTTGGCGCCTTCGGCGCCAAAAATTTGCCGCAAAAACTTTCCCCCTTGCCCCGAAAAAAAATCCTGGTTACGGGCCTGACAAGTTGTGTTAAATTAAAACTTTCCGGAAAAAAGTTTATTTCTATATTTAAGTTGTTTTCCGGAAAATATGTATTATTAATAGTAATTTTACCGGAAGACGAATTATATTAATATTTCCGGAAAATAGAGGAAAATTTCAGGAAAATAAATTAATTAATATTATTTCCGGAAAAAGTTTGTTTGTATATTTAATATGCTTTCCGGAAAATAATTTGTATTCATATACTAGACTTCCGGAAAATGTTAAAATGTCGAAAAAATATTTAAGGTTTCCGGAAAATAAATTTAAATATTACTCTCCGGAAAATAACGGAAAACAAGCTCAATTTTCTATTAAAAAATTAAAACACCTCGGCTTTACAGCTTTCTCCACAACATTAAGTAAATCGGCGTCTCCCATTCTATCCCCTCTTGGTGGAAGATCAGAATGCCCTAATGGAGGTGAATGTGTCATTAAAACATCAACAACAGGTTTGTATTTTTCTCCCAAAAATTCGGCTTGTGGAATTTTTAACCATTCCTCGAAAATTGCTTTGCCTCTAGAACGGTAGAAGGAAAATCCTGGAAGTGGATGCCAAGAAGAACCGAAAATGTTGATACCATAAATCTAGAAGAATAAAAACATTGTGTAATTAATATTTGTTCAAATTGCCTTTTAAACTTGTAGGAAAACAAGTTTTAAGGTAATAAAAATAAGTTGAATATATTCTATTCCGGAAAACAAGTTTAATTAATTTTACTTATTTGCTTTCCGGAAAACTAGTAAAATATACCATTAAATAAAAATAAACAAGACTTTCCGGAAAACAAGTTGAATTTATTAAATGTAATAAAAAATAAGTTTAATATATTGTATGTACTTTTCCGGAAAACAACTATAATTAATATTTGTTTCCGGAAAACAAGTTTATTTTTATTTAATTATATGTTAAACTTGTTTTCCGGAATATATAGCAGTCTATTGTCAAAACTTTTCAGAGAACAAGTTGAAAATTCAATTAAACACAGACTTTTAAAGAAACCAAACACACTCACTTTTACTGAAGAATCTTGTAAATAAATACAATCAGTCAAGTGTTTGTAGCCTTGAGGTGTTCCTCGTTTTCCAGAGCCTAACCTCCACATATTAGCATTTGCCCTTCTCCCACTAATATCCTCCCCATCTTCAAACCCCAATTCATGATTTCCAGCAATAACAATTTTGTAACGATGGGGAAGTTGTTTGAGTTCTTTGTTGAATTTTTCAAGCTCATCCAAATCACCAAAATTGGTAAAATCGCCACAATGAAGCAGAACCTATTTTTTAGAAAAATTAAACTTTCCGGAAAACAAAGTAAAATATAAAACAGATGTTTCAATTTTGTAGGGAAAAACAAGTTGAATATAGTCTACCTATTCCAGAAAACAAGTTTAATTAATTATATATTTTCTTTCCGGAAAAACAAATTGAATATTTAATTGATAGAAACTATACGGAAACTTTTCATTGGGAAAATAACTGCAAACAAGTTTAATTGTATTTTCCTTCCGGAAAAGTTTAATTTTGTATTTTCTTTTCGGAAAACAAGTTTAATATATTCTATTTTCTTTCCGGAAAGGTTAATTATATTCTTTCCGGAAAACAAGTTTAATTGTATTTTCTTTCCGGAAAAGTTTAATTTTGTATTTTCTTTTCGGAAAACAAGTTTAATATATTCTATTTTCTTTCCGGAAAGGTTAATTATATTCTTTCCGGAAAACAAGTTTAATTGTATTTTCTTTCCGGAAAAGTTTAATTTTGTATTTTCTTTCCGGAAGTTTATCATATATATTTTCTTTCCGGAAAACAAATATATCACTGATATTAAACATTTCCGGAAACTTTTCTTACAACTATTAATGCATACAAAAAGTACTAGTTACTCTTACATCGCCAGGCGGAATACGATGAAGAATTTCATCAAGATGATTGTGTGTATCACTTATACAGACAAATCGAACAAGGTCTGGATGGATTGGTTCATTTAATCTATAAAACTAAAAATGCATAATTTATTTGAACTAACGGCAAAGTCTTTGCTTCATTGCATACTCTTTCTTTAGAATATTCCACCCATAAATTTGAAGGATTATTAGCTTGCAATTCAGGTACTGGATTCAAGCCAAACATTTTAAAATTCCTTCACTAGTCAAAAGTTTAATAAACACATTAATTAAATGTTGTTGAAAGAATTTAAGTTTAAATTAAACTTTCCGGAAAACAAATTAAATATAGCAAATGTTTTTAAAGTTTTATTGAAAACAAGTTTATAATTGAAAACAACATAGGTATATGTATTTTAAACTTTCCGGAAAACAAGTTGGAGAATATATCAATTTAACTAGAAGAAAAACAAGGGAAAAATATTCAAACTTTCCGGAAAACAAGTTTTCCGGAAAGAAGAAAAATAAAACTTTTCCGGAAAATAGAATATATTCAACTTGTTTTCCGGAAATAAAATAGAATATATTAAAAATGTTTCCGGAAAGTTGTATTTATTATATTAAAAGTTGTCAAAAACATACATTTTTAAACTTTTCCGGAAAACAAGTTGCAAAAAATAAATTAAATAAATTAAAGCAAAAACATCTTCTTAAAAACAAAACTTTTCTTTCTCTCTCATTTACAAGAATTATGGCTAGGATTTCTATGTAATACAACAGGCGTAAAATCGCGCAGTCTCTTTCCACACCTCATACATTTTTGATCAATTATAACCAGGCGAGAAAGTTGCCCAAAAAGTATACTGTACATTTTATTAGAGAGGGGGATAGGTAAACTGTTTGTAGCTGTTGAAACCATCTAAAAAAATTTTTGGAATTTTTTTTTAAATTTTTTTTGAAAAATTGGTACAATGTAGTTTACCCCCCATAAGCTCCACCCCTTTTCAGCTTACTTTGTTTTTTTTAAAAATGGCCCATTTTTTTGCTTACCCAGCGTTTCTAACTTAATGAAAATTGAAGAAAGAAGAAAAAGGGGGCGGGACTTATGAAGGGGGCGGGGCTTATGGGGGGTAAACTACACAATTGCCCCAAATTTTTTATTTTTCAAATTGAGAAAAATTTTCTTGAGAATAAAAAATTTTTTTCTCGAGAAAAAAATTTTTTAATAAAAATTAGACCATATTTGCAGAAGAAGTAATCTTTTGATAGACTTCAAAACGACTTTGCTTGCTCAAATCTACCTAAAAAATATTAAAAAATTAATTTAAAAATTAATTCAAAATTTGCCTGTTTTTTCCCAATAATTCCACTACAATCTTCATAATGCCAATCCTCATGGGGGGCAACCACATGTAAATATTCAATTACCCCATTATTTATTAGCCATAACATTTTTTGCATACAAACCATTTGCCCGTCGGAAGTTCGACTTTTTGGAACGACAAAATATTTAATTTCAATGATACAACTTAAAACAGAACGTTCAATAAAGTTGTGATAAAGTTTGAACTCGAAAGGAATATCACCCTAGAAAATACAAATATAATTATAATAAATTAAACCTGTTTTCCGGAAGGAAGAAAAATAAAACTATGTATTTTCCGGAAAAATATACGTAATATATAAAACTTGTTTTCCGGAAATTCTGGATAGAAAATATATTTTATTACCTATTTTCCGGAAAATATTATTAAACCTATTTACGGAACAAAAATAAAGTTTCCGGAAGAAATAAACGTATTTTCCGGAAAATAGAATATATTCAACTTGTTTTCCGGAAAGAAAAAAAATAAAACTTGTTTTCCGGAAAGAAAAAAAAATAAAACTTAGTTTTCGGGAATAAATAAACTTGTTTTCCGGAAAATAGAATATAATAAACTTGTTTTCCGGAAAAGAAGAAAAATTAAACTTGTTTTCCGGAAAATAGAATATATTCAACTTGTTTTCCGGAATGTTGTATTTATTATATTAAAAACACAACAGTTAACCCCACAAAATTCTTACTCTAATTAAATACAAACCTGTTTAATAGGTTTAGTATTACAAATTCTAAAATACTTTTCCAAAACATCAACAAATGCAAAGTGTGGTGAAGAAGAGGGCTCGGTCCTAATATTCTCAACTCCATTAGCTATTTGGTAAGCCAAAGTTAATTTACGTGAACGTTGCTGTGTTAATGTGGACATATTGGAGATTTTAAATAAATCATAGGCAAAATTGATATAAGTCTGAAAAAAATAATTTAAAAAAAATACTTAAAAATCAGAAAATAAAAAGAATGTTAAATAAATTTGTTTTTTTCTTCCAGTAAATATATTTAGCGTTAATCCGGAAAAAAATATAAAATAAATATTCCGGTCAGAAAAATAAATTAAAGGTTTTCCGGAAAAATTACAAATTAAATGTATTTTTCCGGAATTTTGTCTATAGAAAACTTGTCCGGAAAATTGTCAAGTAAGCTTGAACACGTTTTTCCGGATTGAAAAATAAATTAATAGGGATTTTCCGGAAAGTTCAAATAGGAATATTGTTTCCGGAAAATTGTAAAATTATAAACTTGTTTTTCCGGAAAGTTGCAAATTAAATATATATTTTTTCCGGAAAGTTTTATTAAATATATTAAACTTATTCCTTAAACCTTATAAAATAAACTTGTTTTCCGGAAAGTTTAATTTAAACAAAACATACAGCAGTGCTGTCTGTCCACTCAAAAACACTCATCGTATTATCATAATCACTCTTCATTTGCGGGTTTATAGCACAATCCAAGAGGAAAGTATTTAATCTATTGACTGTTAGGGAAGAAGGGGTTTGTTGTGGGAGCTTTTTTGCTTCGTTTTCTAATCGTCTTTAAATTAAATTTTTTTTTATTTTTTAAATTTAATAGACTCGTATTCCACAGCCATTAACCCTCCCAATTTTTCACATTCTTGCAGTACACTTTCCAAATTTGGAATTTCTTCAGAATTTTGTTGAGTGGCCAACCTTCCTACCAACAAATTGTGGGAAGTTAAGACAATGTTTTTTAATGTTTTGAGGTGGTCCAGGCCTTCAAAAAAAATTTTTTTAAAGAAATTTTTGAAGAAAACGAAGCTGTACTTGTGAGTTACCCAAATAAGTTTTTGCGGACATATGTTGCGGACTCGTTTATTTATACAGAATGGTCATTTTATTCAAGGAAATAGAATGGAAGAGGAAGGTCTGATAATAATGTGTATGTGTCCGTAAAAAAATATGTCCGCAGAAAAAATAAGTCCGCAAAATTTTGTCCGCAAAAAATTCGTACGCAAAAATCTGTCCGCAAAAAATTCATCCGCAAAAAAATCGTTCGCAAAAAAATTTGTCCGCAAAAATAAGTCCGCAAAAAATTTCCGTCCGCAAAAATATATCCGCAAAAATATGTCCGCAAAGATTTGTCCGCAAAAAATCGTCCGCAAAAACTGGTTAGGGATAACCCACAGGTATTCAACAAACATATTTTAATGGATTCATAAACATGACGGGCATCCTGCTCCATTAAAAAAATTTCTTTTAGTTTTTAAAAATGCTTCAAATTTGTGCTTCTAAAATTGGTTAAAATTTAATTGAAAAATAAATAGAAAATAAACTTGTTTTGCAAAAAATTTTAAAACTTTAAAAATGATATAAATAAAAATAAAAACAATTTATAAACTTAAAAAAGGTCAATGAAAGACAACATAACTCTTAAGAGGAAAGGCGCCCCGCGGCCAAAACGGCGCAAAGCCATAACTTGTTGGGAATTTCTGGCCCTTATCAATTTTGGTACCAATCTCTCTAGCTCGATGAGAGGAATTGTTTAATACTAAATTTACTAGGAAAGGTTGCGAGGTGTCCGACCTATAAACGGTCGAGACAGGGCTCATTCGATAGAGAATATGCCCTTTCTAGCAAGGATTTTGTGGCGTTTTTGCCCGTTTTTTGATCTGGCCAAGGTATGGCCCTCCAAAGTATGCCTTTGCGCCGTTATGGCGCGCGCCTTTTTGGGCATGTCCATTTTAAAATATTCTTTTTTATTGTCCAGTAATCTGCTCCTTCATTTTTCTAATTTTAACATAAAAAATACGACCATCATTCCAATATTTATTGCAAAATGTAAATCTCACTTTTGGATTGTAAACATTTGAAATTTGATAGTTTATATGGTCTTCATTATTTAATCGTTTAATCCAAATTTTTTCTGCTCTATCGCTTAATTTAAAACGTGGGAAAGTAGCAAGGTTAAAGATAAGACAAGCAAACATTTTTGAGCAGTCTTTAGATGTTGCTATATACTGAAAATTTAAATTTGTTTTTTTAACTTTGTGTTTTTAAACGATTTAAATAAAGTAAACTGGGCTAGCTATTTCTCTCCTTAGTAGGGTTGCCATTTTCGGTTCGAGCCGACGTTCGGTGCATTTTTTCGAGTTGGTTTTTTTCGATTCGGTTCGTTTTCGAGCTGAAATGCCTCGGCTCGCTCGATCTTTCGAGTTTCGGGTCGAGCGAGCTGGCAACCCTACTCCTTAGGCTAAAAACTACATAGTTGGCTGTGTGGCCGTGATGTGTTTTTTCCCTTCCTCCACGTCGCAGCTCCAAAGCCTTACGAATTAAATAGTGGAACTTGTATACCATCTAGGTAACCACCCCTACTTATTCACAAGCCAGCAATAGGCCTAAGTTACTATGTACCTGGTATTGGTGGGGTTACCCGAAATCCGATCTTTTTCCAACCTGAAACCCGACCCAAGTTTTTTCTCAACCCGACCCATCCCTGTATGTACGTACAAAACCAAGCGATCATTGACTCCCTCGCTGACTTAAATTAGATTACTTTGACCATTTTGGGCTTACGAATAAATGGGTTCTTAAATATCTACAAGCTTTACTTAGGGGGCATGTTTTGGGCAGTAAACGTGTTTTTGTGTCTAAAATTATTTTTAAAAACGTTTACTGCCCAAATTACTCACTGACCATTTAACTCTGCCCAATTCACCACTGCCGTTTTCATCAGACACGTTTACTTACTTCTGTAATAAGATCATAAATCCTTGGAAACCTAAAACCTTCTAAACAAATTTTTGGACATCTATTGCCTTCGTTTATTAAAATATTGAATAAAATATCTGTATATTGCTCACTAATTTCAGCACTTGCAAAAGATATGTAGGTTAAATAAAGATAGATTTTAAGAGATTCAGCAATGGATAGATGAGTTAAAGCGTATTTTAAAACATTTTCAAATGTTTTATTTTCAGCCGATAAAATTGCTTTTTGAGTGTTAAATTGAAGGGGAAGTGTTTTGTCGTTATCGAATAATATATTGATTAATTCTGGGTTAAATACATTTTGATAAAAATCGGCAGATTCAAAAGCACATTTAAATAGTTGTTCTAACCAGCAACGAACGATAATCATTTCTTCTATATTTTTTGGAAATGTTGGCAAATTTAGAAAATAGTCAAGTTTTTTGTCCACTAAATAGAAATAAAAATGCAATTTTGGCCGGAACCGGAGCAAAAAATTTAACCGGATTCGGATTTAATTTTTTGGTTTCAGAACGTAACTTCTGGCAGTCTAAGGCATTAAAAAATAAGTGTGTAAACCTGTAGTAATACTGACAGATTTTCCGTCGTCTGGTTCTATATTATAAAGCAATGGAATTGATTTGTCTATCGCTGCTTGCCACTGAAAAAATAAATAATCATAATATTTACTTTAAAATCAATTTAACCTTCTTCTTAAGTTGATCATTCAAAGCAAATTCAAAATCAGTAGACTTAGGTTTAATAGATTTATATGGAGATGGCACTCGAGGAAAGCCTGGGTCAGACTAAATTAAAAAATAAATAAATTCTTTAACCAATATTTACTATTGTAATTCTTTTAAATTTTAGTCTAGCCAATTCCCCCTCATATTTATTAATTAAATTGCAAAAGTAAAGATTGGTTTGTTTAATATCAAATAATTGGTTGAAATCAAGACACTTTAATATATCAAGTTGAACTTCAAATGGAAGAGAAAGCATTTTAATTATCTAAAAAATAGGAAAAAATCCAAATCTCTTAAATGTATTAAAAATAAATTTTCAGGCTTCAACCTGTTAAAAACAACAAATTAATTTTATAAAAAAATAATTTAATCAAAAGTCAATGAAAAACAAAAAATAATGTTGTCCTCTTTATAATAAAGGAGAGAAGGGGCGGGGCTTATGGGAGGGAAACTACACAAGTACCAATAAATTAAATTTTCGCGTTTATTCTCTCAAACTTTCATCTTTCTAATTTGAATATAAAACGATCCATCATAACCCTCTCTATTGTAAAATTCAAATCTCACTTTTGGATTATGAATATTAACAATTTGGTATTTTGTAGAATTGTTACCATTTGACTGATCAATTTCAATTTTCTCTGCTCTCTCGTTTAATTTAAAATTTATTGCTGAAATCCTATCAAAATGAATAAAAGGTACAATTTTTGAACAGTCTTTAGATGTTGTTACATACTTAAATTTAAAATTGTTTTTAACTTAGTTATAAATAGATAAATGGTACATCGGGTCCCACCAATCGATTTTAAGAAGAAAAATAAATTTTAAGGTGTCTCCCCAATTCTGCAATTACTCAGATAACTTACTTTTACAATAAGATTATAAAGACTTGTCGTCTGAAAATTTAAAGAAATTTTTGGAAATTTATTGCCCTCATTTATTAAAGTATTGAATAAAATATCAGTATATTGCTCTGAAGTAGCATCCAGATTGATGCTAAGAGACTCAGAAATTGATAAATGATTTAAAGAAAATTTCAAAGCACTTTCAAATATTTTAGTGATAGTAGAATTGCTCCATAGAATAACTCTTTTAATGTTAAACTGAAGAGGGATTGTTTTGTCGTCATCAAATAATATATTGATCATTTCTGGGTTAAATATGTTTTTATAGAAAGAAGCATATCCAAAAGCACAATTAAAAAGTTTTTCCAACCAACAACGAACAATAATCATTTCTTTAATATTTTTTGGAATGATTGGCAATTTTAAAACAGAATGGCATTTTTCGTTCACTAAATAGAAATATAAAGATCAGATGGTTAGTAACCTAACTTATAATTTTAAAAAAATCGGAGGGTATGTTAATCGATGACCGGTACATCATTAGATTCGTCTCGGCGAGCTGGGTCGAATAATACCACTCCCAGGGTACAAAAAGCATGTGGACCGAGGCTGGGCTAATTTTGCATTTTTTAGAGCGAAAAGTATTTTTAGATTTTGCCCAGCCTGCTGTGGACAGAGATAAAGGCCCCTGATATTTTCAAGGTTCAGTAAAATTTTGATTTGTCGCTCCATAACTTGTCCAATATTTTTTGGAATGATTTATGTATTTTTTTCGTGCTTTGAAATTTTGCCCCTCACCAACCTATAGCAATACAAATACATTCTCTGTTAGGTTCAAAATAATGTAGAAACAACGGAATCGATTTGTCTATCGCTGCCTGCCACTGAAAAAAAATAGAATTTCTGATTTAAAATTAATTTCACCTTATTTTTAAGTTGATCAAGCAAAGTAAATTCAAAAATTCCAGATTCAGGTTCAATAAATTCAGATGGATGTAACCCTACAAGCATGTGATGGTCAACCTAAGATTAATTTAAATAGAGAAAATATTCAATAAATAGTATATACTAATGCTATTTGAATAAATTCCTGTCGTGCCAGTTCTCCCTCAAATTTATTAATTAAATTGAGAAGGTAAAGATTGGTTTGTTTAATATCAAATAATTGGTTGAAATTTAGACATTTTAATACATCAAGTTGAACTTCTGTTGGAAGACAAAGCATTTTTTAATTGTCTAAAAATAGGGAAAAATTCAGATTTTATTGCTAGAATTTAAATAAAAATTAGAAAATTTTCAACGAAAAACAAGAAAAAACTAAAAACAGTGCAGAAGAACATTAGACAGAAATTTGGGACCAAATGTCTCTCAAGACTGAAACGTCCCCTTTCCCTTTCTTTTGGCAAAATGCAAATTGGGGATATGTCCAAAACGGCGCGCGACCATAACGGCGCAAAGCCAGAAATTGCCTCATGATTTCCTAATCTTACTAAATTTAGCATCAAACATTTCTCTCATCGAGCTAAGGGAGATTGGTAACACAATTGCTAAGGGCCTGACATTTTCCAGTAAATTATGACCTTGCGCCATTATGGCCGCGCCGTCTTGGGCTGTCCTCTGATTGTGAGATTTGTCTCTTCGCTGTCTTTCAACGCGCATCGTCTAACTTTCCCCGACAAATTTTTTTTTTGCTGATTCAAATTTATCGATTATTTACTCTTAACTATCAAGTACACTTGAAAAGTCGTTCAAAATTTTTTACAAATTCATTTAAAAAATATTCTCCCCCTTCAATGGATGAAAATGATTTAAAACAACAAATTGATACTTTAATACGCAGTTATCCAGATTTCCCGTCCAAAGGAGTTCTTTTTAGGTCAGATAATTTACTAATATGTTTGAGTCTGGTAAAAGATAAATTGAGTTTTAGGCTGGGACTCAAGTGACCAAAAAGTAAAAATCAGACCCCAATTTATAAATAAGACGTGAGAGATCTGAAGGAGTCTTAGAAATCTTGGAATAAGACTTAAATTGAGACTAGAGCGTCCAAAACGAGCTACAGAAAACTCAAATGACCAAAGGATCAAATACTCAAAAAATTTAGGGTAGGCCCAAATAGGCGCAAGGCCAAGTAGGCGCAAAGTTATAACTTGCTTCAATATTCCCGAATCTTTCAAAATTTCGTATTAAACGATTCCTCTCATCGAGCTAAAGAGATTGATGCCAAAATTGTTAAGGTCCAGAAATTTTCCAGCAGGTTATGGCTTTGCGCCTACTTGGCCTCGCGCCTATTTGGGCGTATCCCAAAAATTTAACTTAACTAGAGTCATATTATTGTATTTAACGATATTCTTAAGTCTGAGTACACCTAATTTCTCATTTAAAAAATATTTTTATAGAGATGTACTCCCACTATTCTCCAAACCTACACTTGTCCGTTCCCTGTGTTGCTATGTTGCTAATCGTTATAGGGACAGAATTGATTTAGTAGCTGGACTGGAAGCGAGGGGTTTTTCGAATATTGAATACTCAAAAGAACATTTCTTAAAGGCTTTCTTTTTGGCCCAATCATTGCGTTGGAATTGGGCATTCCTTTTGTTCCAGTACGTAAACAAGGAAAGCTTCCCGGCCCCGTAATTTCTGCAAGTTATCAGAAAGAGTATGGCAAGGATGTTTTTGAAGTGCAACAAGACGCGCTGTCAGCCGGGCAGCGAGTGTTGATTGTGGACGATTTGCTAGGTATGTTAAGGGGTGAGACTCTAATGTACCTAGAATTCGAAGAGGGTCGGTAGAGTACTCTGAGTCTTTAGTAGAGATCGGCCTGGGTCTGGACAAGACCTGGGTTTTTCCTGTACCGAGTCCAAGCCCAGGCATTTTTTGACCTTCCTGGGCTTTTCCTGGGCCTGGGTTTTTCCTGGACTGGGCCTGGGTTTTTCCTGGCCCAAGATGGGCCCAGGTCAATAAATAAAACAAAAGTCCAGGAACAGGTCCAGGCTTTTCAAAATTTCGATCCACTGGAGGGTCTCTAATATCCCCTTCATTAAGGGGTGAGACTCTATTGTACTTTAAATTTGGAGCTAGTCAGTAGAGTACCGCCAATTGAGTCTCAAGCTCAGACTCTAGCTTAGAGTCTGGTATCCTCGTTGATTGTTCCTTGGACTCTAATATCCCCTTTCTATCTTAAGACTCTAACACCCTTTTTAATTTAGCCACCGGAGGGTCTCTACGTGCAGCAGAACAATTGGTCAAACAAACAGGAGCAACAGTTTATGCAAACTTTGTTGTAATTGAATTGGGTGATTTAAATGGACGGAAAGTGTTGGGAAGTGAAGTCGATGCTTTTTTGACATATTAAAAATGATTTTAAAATTTCACTTAAAAATAGGCTTTTGACTCTTACCACTTTATTAACAATTTTATCTTAACATTCGATTGTCTAATTTTTGATAAATATCATTAAACCTATTTGCTGTAGGCACCAATTATTAAGAAGGAAAAGAACGGTTTTTTACGTACCCGCATAAAGTGCCAATAAAATGGCAAACAGGCACTCCCTTGGGGGTTGAAAAACCATTGCCGTGGTATAGCGGGGTCTAGATTTGATCAGATCTGGATTTGACTCTTCTTAGGCTCGATGCCTGACGAAAGTTGTTGGCTACTTTAGTGTAGTTCTGCTTTAATCTATTAAAAAATTTTTGTTTACATTTGATAGCTAATTTAATTTATAAAAAATAGCAAAATTATTTTATTGAATATAGACGAGTTTAGACAAAACAATTGAATTTTTAAAGGTAAAAATTAATTTTTTTGAGAGATTTTTCGATTAAAAAGTTTTTTATGATTTTCCAAAAATTTTTACTCTTATATCATCTTATACTTGGATAATTTAATTCTCTTTCAGATAGTATATCGAACTTCCATTTTAGTTTTAATTTTGTGGAGTTATGTAAGTCTAAAGCTATCCAACTTGCAACTCAACAGTTGCACAAACAAAGGAAAATTGAAGCAAAAATTAAAATAAAAAAATTTTTTCTTAATTGTCTCTAAATTTCCTTTACTTTTTAATAATTTTCCAACACTAAAAAATTTATCTTTTGAAAAAATTTATAGAAAAAAAATTTTTTTTTGTCAATTCATTTTAACATCAATTAACTCACCCTCCTCAATCTCATTAAAAATTAATTTAAAAAAAAAATAATTTTTATAAAAAAAATTAAGAAAAAGACAATTTTATTTAACATTTTACAATATTGAATCAACGCAAATATTCATTAAATGAACGTCAATCTCTCCTATTTTTTTATTTTTTTGCCTCCCCAAGGCCGACTAAAGCCTTAAAACACGCATAAAATACTTGAGAGAATAAATGTTTTTATAAATTAATTTAAAAAAAATATTTTTTTTTTGGTTAATTTTTGTTTAAAATGTTGGTAAATGTTGGAATTTTGTTTTTGGGACATTACTCATTTTTTGCAAATAAAAATTAATATTTTTCTTTCATTCGTTGTTCCACATTTTTGCTTCATAACTGTTTTGTGTTTTATTTTCTATCAAGTTTGTATTTAAAAATAAACTTGAAATTAAACTTTTTCCGGAATTATTTTCATTTATTTCTCTTAAAGTTATAGATAACTTTCCGGAAAATAAATCTATTCTATTTGTTTTCCGGAAAGTTTATATTATTTTTTCCGGAAAGAATATACATTGTATTTTACTGTAATTATATTTATTATATTTTCCGGAAGTGTATATAGAATTAAACTTTTTCCGGAATGTATTTTCTAGTTTATTTTATGTATATATATTTCAAGTTTTCCGGAATGTATTTCTAATAGCTTTCCGGAAAAAATAATCAAAGATTCATTATTAGGGAAACTATTAGTTATTTATTCAAGCTTGGTTTCCGGAAATGCGTCTATTGTATATTTTCTTTAATTAATTATATATTTCCCCCTAAAATTTTTTTTGTTTTAAAGACAAAAATATGATTTTTTGACTAGACCACCCCAAAGTATCCATTTCTAATTTTAAGTAAATAATCTTTTTTTTTGTCATTTCTTTAAATTTTTTCCCTTTCCGATTGCCTAATTCTTAAAAGATTAGCACATTTATATTATTTCTTTAATGTTTGCTTTTCAGATTTTCTGGTTAATATTTTTTGTTTAAATTTATTAGTTAAGTAACTAATGTATTTTTTTATAAAAAACAGATGGTAATTTTGAAATAAATTTAAAATAAATTGTGGGAGAGTAAAATCAGCATATTTTCCGGAAAGCATATAAATTGTATTTTCTTATAGTTATATTTATTATATTTTCCGGAAAGTGTATTTAAAAATAAACTTTTTCCGGAAAGGGTTTTGTCTTTTTTATGGAAGTTAAAATCAACATTCCGGAAAGTATATTCTATTTGTTTTCCGTAAAGTTGTGTTTTTGTTTGTGTTTTAGTCTTTGTTTTTCTTGTTGTTATAGGTATAGCCATCTTTCCGGAAAAGTACATATAACTTCTAAAGTTTAATTCAAGTATTTACTTGTTTCCGGAACAAATTACTTGTTTCCTGTTTTTATTTCTATCTTTAAATGTGTTTTAGTTTTTGTGTTTTCCAGTTGTTGTTAATTATGTAATGTGTGTACTTTTATTTAATTCTGAAAAAATCATAAGCAAGTTTAATTTTAAACCAACTTTTTTTGCAAATAGAAGTCCTAACAATAGAAAATTACTTAAAAAAGAAGATTGCTAAATTTTGCTAACGGAAAGAGCAAAAAGCTTTTTTTGCTTTTAATTTTTATTTTTCTTTTGTTAATTTTTTTGAAACTTGATTTCTTCTTTTTAAGGGGGTTTTATTTATTTATTATTTTTTTCTATTAATTTTTCTGCTTATCTTTTTTGTCTCCCCCAACTATATAAATAATAAAATATAAAAATTAATGAATTTTAATTTCCCAAATTTTATTATTTTATTCATTTTTTGGTGCCACAGCTGGTCAATTACTCAATATCCTCCACAATGTCTACTTCTTTTTAAATATTTTTTGCTTCTTACGGGTTTATTAGGAAATTTTGGTTGTTTTCTGTTGACTAAAGAAAAACAAGAAAGGAAATGTGGATAACCAAAGAAAATAAAATAATTAGTAGAGCACATATGGAGGATAGATCTACATTTGTTTTTAAATAAAAATAAATATATTATTGCTTTTAGTTCATTATTTTTGGGGAGCTTCAAGTAGTAGTTGTTTACAGGTTTTATTGAAGCAAAATAAAATTAAACTTGAAGCAAATACAAAAGTTTCCGGAAAGTTTAATATGCAACTTGAATAAATAAACTTAAAATAAACTTGAAGCAAAATAGAAATTCCGGAAATACTATTAATGTTATATTGAAGGAGGGTTTTCCGGAAAGCTTAATTAAAGCTTAGAATAAACCTGAACTAATAAATATAAAATGTTTCCGGAAAAAAAATATATTATATTGTAATTCAAGTTTTTCCGGAAATAATATAAACCTAAATGTGTTTTCCGGAATTTAAATAATATAAGTATTATTTCCGGAAATACTATTAATGTTATACTGAAGGTAAGATTTTCCGGAAAGTTTAATTAAAATTTAGAATAAACCTGAAGCAATAAATATTAATTGTTTCCGGAAAAGTTTAAAATATCCGGAAACCTCTATTTATTTTGCTTCAGGTTTATTATTCGTGTTTCAAGTTTTTCCGGAAAGAATATCTAAATGTGTTTTCCGGAATTTAAATATAATATTATTAAAATAATGTGTTTTCTTTTAATTTTCTCCAGATTTTTTTTCCTTTAAATTTCTGCTAATTATTTTTTAAATTTATTATAGCTATAAAATTTATAATTATTTTTTGTTTTTTATTTTTTTTAATTTATTTTTAGATCACACCCCTATTTTTACCAAAAAATAAAATTTAATTACTTTAATTAATTTAGGGAATAAATTCTCACAAGGTATTTTTTATAATTTATTTTTCAAGGGAAATAATTAAAATATTTTTAAAAAATTCTAAAAATATAAAAGTGCTATTAACTGATTAGAATCTATATAAATTTTGATGATGATGAATAGCAATCAAAAAATATCCCCCCAAACAATTTCTTTCCCCACAATTTTGCGAGCGGCTTTTTAACAGCAAATTGAAAAAGAGTAGACAAATCATCCCCCAATCATTATTATTAATGATGAGAATAATTTGAAATGAATTTAGAAACCTTTATAAAGGCGATTTTTGAGAGGTGAAGGTCTAATTTAAAAATAGGTGTGAGTAGTTAAAATAAGGAAATAATAGGGTAAATTGGTTGTGTTTCTGTACGTTACTGTATTTTTCCGGAAACGCTTCTCTGTTAATACTTTTTTAAAAACTTTCCGGAAAATTTATTTCCAATGTTTTTTTGAAAGGGGTTTCCGGAAACATTTTTCTGTTATTTTATAAGTTTTCCGGAAAATATTTTTCCAATGTTGCTGGAAAAAGTATACACTTGAAATAAAGTCTCCGGAAAATTCCGTCTATCTCTCTTGAACTGGACAAGCAATCCACCCACACTAATTAGTAATCTGTCAATTAGTTTAATTGACATTCAAAAATATAATCTTCCTTCACTTTCGATGAGCTACGAAAGAATTGTGGACAACCTGACTTTAATTAAATTTTAATTTAAATATAATATATTAAGTAAAATTTTGGAAAATATTTTTTTGGATTACCATTTTTTCCGGAACTGTTTTTATGAGCTTTCCGAAAATGTATCTCCAATGTTTTAGAAGTTTTTCCAGAAACACTTTTCTGTTATTTTATGAGTTTTACAAGAGAATGTTTTTCCAATGTCTCTGCGAAAAGCACTTAAAATAATCTTTCCGGAAATTCCATCTACCGTATTTACTGAAATAATTACCCACTCCCTATTAATCACCCCCTCCAGCGATAAATCTAAACAATAATTACCCCGGGTAATTATTTCAGTAAATACGGTATTTCTCTCGAAATGGACAAGTATATACTCCGTCGCGGTTAGATTTGTCAATTTGTTTAATTGACATTCAAAAATACAATGAACAACATTAACAAGAAATCACATTAAAATTGCGGACAACCTAACTTTAATAAAATTTTAATTGAAATATAATATATTAAGCAAAAAATTAAAAAATATTTTTTTTGCAAGAATATTTTTCCAAAACTATTTTTATGTGTTTTCCGGAAAATGCTTCCCCATTGTTTTCTAAAAATCTTTCCGGAAATATTAACTATAGAGAATAACTCTAAAAAGTGTTTCATGTTTCCCATTACTCACTAAACATTTATAATATTGTACAAAACACATAAACATCCCTATAAG